CAGACGGCATAGCCGTAAATTGTGATTCCTCGCAGAGCGCCCAAATGCCTGGCTCTCAGTTCGGAATGACTCACACCCCACCGAAATGCACGGTTTTCTTAAGAGGCTGGAAAGGAGCTGCTCCAACTCTTGCCATTTCGCGCTATCTTTCAGAGGTTACAGATAAATTCCTTTACCTCAGAAACTGCCTCAGCACTAATGTCATAACAGACGATGTCACTTTGCACGTCTGTCAAGTTCGTTTACTTTGGACTGTTCAGTACTCTCTCTCCGCCGCACATGCTACTACGGTCCCGTTCGTATGCCTAGTTGCGACATATTGTTGATCCAACACAGTGTTATGTCTGTGGGGCTCCCAATGGCCAAGAATGGTGCAGAATTACTAGGACGCTGCATCAGCACCATCGATATGATGTTTGCGGCTCGACATTTGTAGGACAAGTGTAGAGAACGACATCAGCTGTTGTACTCGCTTTTTGCTGATTTCACAAAGGCATTTGATACGTTGCACAATGAGGCATCCTGGATGAAATTGGGCAAGTTTGGCTATCCGCGTAAGTTTGTAAGTTAAATTAAATGCATGCACAGTGGTACGCGGGCGAGGGAGCAGCTGAGTGGAGAGACTTCGGATGACTTTGCAATTGTCTCCGGTGTGAAGCAAGGCTGCGTTATAGCTCCTGCCCTGTTTATTAGTTATCTTCACAAAATGAGGTAGAGTACCCAGTGTGGAACAAACATCAGCCTACCATTAGCATGAAACCGATGGCGTAAAAATCCATGGTGTTGTCTATTGGGAGAATAACTACCAGATATTCATATTTTCTGAACGCCGGAAAACGGCAAAATTTTTGAGATGAGACATATCTTCGGTCAGCACAGACTACCAGTAACAATCGTGTCTGATAACGGGTCACAGTTTACGTCCTGCCATTTTGCTGAATTTTGTGCACATAATGGGACCGGGCATGTGAGGACCGCCCCGTATCATCCGCAGTCAAATAGCCAAGCGGAAAGATTCGTTGATATTCTGAAACGAGGATTGTGGTAGTCAAAAGAGGAGGGATCGCTGAACGAAAGATCGGAACGGTTCCTCTTGAACTATCGAGTTACTCCGAATTCTAATTCACCAGATGGGAAATCACCAGCTGAAGCTCTTACGGGTCGAAGATTGAGAACCAGGTTAGATTTGCTGACTCCCAAGCGTCCGCCTCTACAACCAAGAAATTCAGTGATGGATCGCCAATACAACAGGCAGTATGGGGCACGAAAAAGGATTTTCAAAGTGGGCGATTTTGTGCTTGCTGCTGCTAACCAAGGATGATGGATCGCTTGGATACCAGGACGAGTTATGCGACGCGAGGCACGGTAATGTATGATGTTCAAGTTAGTACACAGGCATGCAGACGCCATGTCAATCTGTTGAGGTCACGGTATACACATGGTGCGGTCGTTCCGAAATCCAACGGATTTGATGTCAATGAATTGCTGGACAATGGCAAGCCTAGTCCCTCGCCAGGTAGCGACGTTCGTCCCATGGAAAGCATGGAAAATGGAACCCGGTACAGGCCAAAGCGAACAAGAAGATTTGTGCAAGTGGATCCGCGTCGGAAGAACTATGTAAACTTCAGGTAACTCATTTTTTAAGTGAGGGAGGCATTAGGAGAATAGCTATTAGACATCCATATTTTGTGAATGACCTTAATAGCCGTACTTTATTCTTCCTATTTTCCATTACTTGACTGTTGTTTACACGCTTCACTGGGTTAGCCCGATCGGCACACACACATTGTTAATGGACGCTCATCTCTGTATCCTCTTCAGCAGTGCCATTTGCAAGAACACATTTCATTGGTTTTTTCTCCGTATCACTTTTCCACTTGGTTGTGTTAAGGGGATATTAGTTGCCACACAATTATTGTACTAGTTTTTAATTTTTGGGTTTGTACTTCTTATTCTCGTTTATTTCGTGCCATTTGTTTAAACGCTACACTTCGTTATTCTGATTGGCCAGTGCCTGTCACTGTAAATGGATGTTCGTCTTACGCTGGGGGTCCCAGGATGCTATTTTTAAGACATGCGATTCTCTCTTGAGTACACAGTTGCTTATTCGCCGCTGCATTTGACGTTTTCCTTCTGTTAGTTGGCTCAAGTGTACTTTAGTAGCTTCCCTTCCTTTTACCTCAAAACTATATAAGCAAATTTGATTTCATGTATACAAGTCTCTTTCTGGCTCCTCCTTGGACTTCTTCTTGCGGTCGTTGGGTGAAGGTGGCAATGGAGACACAACACTGTCCGTGCTTGTAGTCACGTGATTACAAGTTAACAGCTGTTGGGCTTTGCTCTATCTCGCTCCCTTAACTTACTCTATTTATGCATTGGTAGTGGCCCTCTGTTATATATATATATATATATATATATATATATATATATATATATCGCATTAATCATCCAACAGTCTACAAGTCCGGCTGCGTAACTACTCTACTTAAAAGAGCTCAGACAAATTGCGGATCCCAGCAGCTGAGGAAAGCGGAGATTATCTGTTCGAAATGTTTCCACGGAATTTCAGGAATTTCATTCTACCCTGTTTAAGATCAATAGAACGACTGACGCATGAACAAACATCAGAAACGGATAAAAGGGCAATCATTCTACCATACACCAACGGCGTCTCTGAGATGGAGGCGAGACTGCTACTACGTTTCGGAATCAGAGTTGGTCACAAGTCGACAGAAACTATCCGCGACATGTTCTTCCATGGTAAGGACTGGTTTGGCGAAGAAGAAACAAGTGGTGTGATTTAAAAAATCCACTGCAAAAATTGTAAGAAATACTATGTGGGCCAGACAGAAAGGAAGCTGGGTACTAGGCTACATGAGCATAGCCTAGACCTCCGCCGACATGACCAGAAGTCCCTGATATCGGTACATATGGACGCCGAGAATCATCAGTTTGATTTAGAGAATGTCAGGATCATAGGCAGGGCAAAAAGTCGAAAAGCACGCAAGTTCATTGAGGCTTGGTACTTGGGGAAGAACTCAATCAACAGACACTTAGATCTAGATACTGCCTATGAAGCACTGAGGGTCAACTCAATACTCCGCCCCAGATCAACACGACAAAAAAATCATTGAGGCTGACTCTAGCCAACAGTACGCAAGAGCTGACTACACAGTCATCTCACGTGGACCAATCGACTCCTGACGTTCGAATCAGTAAGTAAACAATAATCACTTATATGCGTAAGTGGCCCGCATAAATCGCACTGATGATGTCGTCTAGCCTGACGATGAAACGTTTGCAACCAGATCAGCCAGCTCAGAGAACACCCGCATACTCTCAGATATATATATATATATATATATATATATATATATATATATATATATATATATGCCCCATGCTGAGCCTGATGTTGTATTCTTGTTGTTTCTGTACTGCAGTTGGGCTAAACCAAATTACGCTTAAACTAGGTCTTTTTAACGTGGATAAAATTCATTGCGATGTATTTGAAACAATTAGTTCCCTTTAGTAACTTGAAAAGCACAATTAGAAGACGAAGCACGGCAGATGCATGCATTTCGTATCGTCTCATCAGTGCCGATAACGATAACCGGTAATTTTATATAAGAGTTTGTGGGTACAGACAGCCACAGATTTGTGTTCAAAAACAATTATCGGTCAGCCTCAGGCTGCCCTGGTTGTAGAACAAAGACACCCATTTTTTTCTCTCCTTCGTTTGGATGTATGTCTGTACCCACAAACTCTAATATAAAATTACCGGTTATCGTTATCGGCACTGATGAGACGATACGAAATGCACACTGTATTTGGTTTGTTCTGCCTGCGTGAATAACCTTCTATTTGCTGGCCACGTTGCTTGCGTTAATTGCGCTTAACTTCAGTAACTTTGTTGCGTTTGTAGCATTTTTGAGTAAGTTGTGGCCAATTTTTCCTTATCGCGGATTCGTTACTAACCAAGTTACTTCATATGGTAATTTAGCGAAGAGTTATGCCACCGTAGCTGTATGCATTATTCCATTTACCTTATTTCATCTTGTCGTTTCAAGTGAATGGTCGTTGCTTGATATCCCCGGTGTGGCTGCGCTTGATGTGCATGTTGACAAGGTGCCTACCTGTCTACAACCCATTATCTCGTCCATCTGGCTCCAGGACACAGTTGGTCGTTGCTGGAGGGGACGGGGTGCACGGTCCTTGTAGTCGTGCTATGCTCGATGAGTGGTTCCATGCACTCAGTGTGGAGCGGACTACGGTCCAGCCACCGCCTTGGGTGCGCTTGATTCCCAACTACAGCATGCTTGTGTTTGCATGTGAAGGAGTGTGGGCCGGCTCCGTTGATGAAACGTGGCTCCCATTCACATGCCTTCCGGTCTTATTTCTTCGGGTTTACACTGGACATGGGGGGTGTGATTGGAGCTGTGGGTGGTGCAGCGCAAGCCACCCATGGTCTTTCTGTAGGCACAGGCGTCCTGTGGCTGGCAACAGCGACAGGCAAATCCGAAACCGGATGCCGCCAACCATATATATATATATATATATATATATATATATATATAAACACTATGAAAAATAACTGTGATGGTCCAGCCTATTCACATTTGAAAAAGCTGCCGTGAAAACGTGAAAACCCACCACAACTCTAGTCTTCATATAATGACTCGGCTACATTAGGCCAAAAGCTACGAACTGTCGAGTATATCGCACGTGGAGTGCTCATCGGTACTTTATAGGCAGTTGATGCAGATCAAGTTGTCTGTGTCAGGACGAGCGTGAACAGCATGTACTCTGACAGAGAGCTTAGCGAGCTATAGTAGTCACAAACATGCCCTTATGTCAGTCGCTGTTTCCAAAGAGTTGGATGACAATTTATGGGGAAGGCAGAAAACACACCAAAGACACTGCTGGGCACCATAAAATGTCAAGCAGTTGGTGATCGTGCAAGTTGCTTTAAAGGAAAGTGTAAAAGTCGCCCTGCTTACCTATATGCTTCCTTGGCTTCGCGAGTCAATTCTTGGATTTTGTCATTCAGCCGGTCCACTTCACGCTGCTCCTGGACAGACAACTGACTGAGTAAATCGGTACCCATTTCTTTCTGAGAAAACATGGGGATATAAGAGAACAGGGAATTCTAGGTAGTTTGTTTCACCCAAGAGCTCATACATAGAAAAATTACCCGCGAAGTCAACAGCCAAGTGGACGCACGCATTCGCTGTGGTGGCTGTGGTGCACAGCGTCGGAAGTGCATCGCATGGCTGAAGAAGTGATCCGTCTGATTTGAACAAGCTGTCCAGTCGCACAGTTGGGGCCATAGATGGCGACGTGCGAGTTTGAACCTGTCAGTCAAAAGGGCTGAGAAGGTTGCGACTGAAGGTTTACGCAAGCGGCTTGTGAGATAACGACTAGGAGACTGGAAAGAACGATGCGTTCGAGATTATCCCGCCTTTCATTAACAAGCGGCATCCATGGAAGTGGTGAACAAGTGCAGCAGCATTTGCGAATAGCGCTCGCCGGACGGTTGTTTTTGCTCTAGTTGGCAGGCCAATTTGCATCGATCATGACTTTGTGTAGGGCAGATATTTTGTGTCTATTTTTGTCGAATTCATTTTCTTTTGTGATGCTGAATTTGGTTATTGTGTATTAATTTTGTGTCCTTATATTCCACTCTGGTACTTTTATCGTGTACTTATCGTGCACTTTATCTCCTTTACCGGCACATCGGTTAAGCTATCAGTAATGACAGCTGACTTCCTGTGGCACTTGTTGTGAAATAGTTGGGCATAGAGACAATGCTGTTACGTGTCTCTTGTGTGGTGTGAATCTCCACATTTTGTGTATTGGTTTGTCCTTAGATCATTGTAAACTACTGCGTGAAATCTAGCATGACTTTGGTCATATATTATACAAGAAATGCCAAGCCACTGTGCAGTCACAAACAGCCTAGAAGTCGCAAGAGCCTACAAGACGGGCGAAACGTTCCATAGGGAGGGGCTCCGTGGGTGCATCCAAGCAAGCGGAAACCCAGCCACTCTATGTTCGAACGAGCCCACCTGCTCACCGGCTGTAGACTCTCCAGAGCGATGTCTATCCGTTGTTGGAGCCTCAGCTGCATGCCTGTGTAGTCACAAACAGCCGAGAAGCCGCGTGAGCCTACAAGATGGGCGAAACGTTCCATAGGGAGGAGCACCGTGGGATCATCGAAACAATCCCAAACCAAGTCGTCTCTATGTTCCAACGAGCACACCGGCTGCAGGCTCTCCAGCGCGATGTCCACCCATTGCTGGAGACCCAGCTGGCGTGCCTGTGTTGTGTCCTACGGACACTAACATACCGGTGTGCGATAGTGTAGGCGTTGAAGACCAATAGAGAGTAGCAAAGCAAAAAGGAGAAGACAACTGCCAGCAATCAGCGCCTGAGTCGACAGATGCTAGTCCTCAGGCTCGTTGACCACGAGGTGGATTTTCTGCAGAGCCTGATTGATAGGTTTCTGGACTTGAATGAACAGGGGTTGCGGGTGAAGCAAATCACCCGCCTTGGGAAGAGAGAGGAGGGGAAATCCTGGCCTCTGCGAGTCACGGTTGTTGATGCAACGAGTCCGAGGCTGATACTATCCCGCCTCGGTACACGAAGAGGTCTAAAGATCCATATTCGTCCCGATTTGGATCTGTCGGACAGAGCGAAACTGAAGTCCCCTATCGTGGAGTTGAAGTGGCGGACTGATGGTGTAGAAACCAATCCCCACATAGTAAATTTTCAGGCAGTTCCCCGAGTCAGCAGAACCCGGATCAACAGATCGATGACGCTTCATGCGCGTCTGCCAGTTCCTAATATTTGTAGTTTAATGAACAAATGTGACGATGTATTTCACTTCGTTGCCTCACGTCGTCCGGCTGTACTAGGACTGGCCGAAACCTGCTTAAACCCTGAGGTCCCTACTCAGGAAGTCCAGATCAGTGGCTACTTGAGCTTCCGGTGCGACAGACTATCAAACGATCGAGGCGGCATACTGTTATACATTCGGTTTTCGCTGTGCAGGAGACTGGTAAGCACCTACAGTAGCGAAGATGGCTTTTGCGAATAGCTACGGTGCTCAATCCACCTGAGATAGGATGGGCTGTTTGTGGGTGCTGCTTATCGCAGCCCGCGAAGCCTATGTCTGGATTGGTTGCCGTATGCCAGAAAGTACATGAATTGGCCCCGCTTCCTGTTTATGGGTGATTTCAAGCTCCCTCAAATACTGTGGCCTGAGGTTCAACTTCTTCCCGGACACTGAAACTGAGGCGCAATTTGCTGAGATATTATTTGAGACTGGGTAGCAAAACAGGAGTGCCAACCGACGAGCGTTACATCGTATTCTGCTCCATCGTGCCTGGACTTACAACTAACGAATTGTGAGCAACGTGTACATGAAATTCACGTCCTGGAGTCTCTGGCAGCTAGTGACCACTCAATGGTTTTAGCCAGCCTAGAACTGCCGCTGCCCACTTGGATCTGCGGGATCCGTGCTACATTTGTTGGAAGACGGACTTCAATGGTCTAAATCGAGCCGCCAGTGAACTCGACCGGTCGCTGTCGCAGGATTCATCCTTTAAAGTCCGTTGGTCTGTTATAAAATAGGGTGTGCAATAGATGTGCGCTCGTTTCGCAACGCTCAAGTATAAGAAACCTGGACCAGTGAAGCCACATTAATCCGACAGAGAGCTTGACGGCGACGCGAATTGTGGAATAAATTCCTCGTCTCTGACTCCGTCGACGATTATGAGGCGCACAAAAGGCAGCGGAATCTATGCAAACAGTGAAAGTATCGGTCGTTCGACGAGGAGCTTGTAACCACAGCGAAAACGGTCCCAGGAAGATTTTTGCTTACGTGAAGCGGCGCCTGAGGCTCGCAAATGACGGGCACTGAAGGACAACCTCTGACTTCCAGCACTGAACGTGCGTCTGTATTGGCGGAGCACTTCTCTTCCGTATATACAAGTGGACATGCGCCCATGTCGAGCTCGACGTGTGCAGCCCCTACTGAACTCGAGGGCCTTGAGTACGGTGTAGATGTCCACAGTCTACTCGCCAGTCTTGTTGGCATAAAACCTGTCGGACCCGATGAAGTTCACCAGAAAATTTTGAAGTCCTTATCCACCATCATCTCATATACTGTGACAGATCTGTTCAACAGATCGCTGTCCGAGAGTGCATGGTCGAGCGATTGGAAATGCTTAGTAGTGAAGCCGATTCCAAAAGGTGGTGACGCAAGAGATGTGGACAACTACCGGCCGATCTATCTTACCTCTGTTTTGGTGAAGGTGCTCGAGAAGATTGTGAAAAAAGGTCTTCTCCAGCTGCTGGCACAGCACGGTATCATGAAGGGCCGCTCGTGCGTCACCAAGCTGTTGTTGATGCGGCAGGAATGGTTACAAGCATTGAATCGGGGGAGGTCAGTGGATGTTACCTTCATTGATTTGAGTAAAAGTTTCGATAAAGTGAACCATGAGGTCCCGATCCACAAGCTGAGGATGTGTGGTGCTGGTGGCGCACTGCACCAGTGGAACAGTGACTTCCTTATTGGGAGAAGATGGCGGGTTCAGGTGGATGACCACCTAACGGAGTGGTACCCGTCCACTAGCGGCGTACACCAAGGCACAGTACTGGGGCCCACATCAAGGAAGTACCTCAGCTTCTTCGGTCGCCCTGCGCATTATTTGCGGATGACCTGAAGATTAGCAGGATTATCAATTCTCCCGGCGACTGTGACGTCCTTCAGCAGGGCCTCGACCACCTATCCCGGTGGTCTGCAGAAGTTGATCTACTGGTCAACACGGCCAAGTCCTCGTTTATGAGCCTGGGAAGGGGCAGTAATGAGCGTGCGTACACTCTGGCCGGCCATACGTTGCGTTCCACCAGTTTCGTAAAAGATCGAGGCGTACTCTCACGCTGTGATTTGAACTCTGTCGACAACATGAACAGACTGTACGCAAACGGACTACGCCTGCTTTGGGCACTTAGACGCAGCTTCTGCACTTGGTCTGAAGAGGTTGCCACCCGTATATTCTCTTCCATTATAAGACCGGTGCTTGATCATGGCTCACCCGCCTATGGCCCGATCACAATAAGTGAGGTGCAGAGACTGGAACGGGACCACCATGTTGCTACCTGGCTCATCCCCTCATTACGGGGTATGTCATACGAGGATCGACGTAGGAGATAAGAGCTTTATACTCTGTCATATCGTCGGCTTCGAGTTGATCTCATTATGATGCACCGGATATTGCACTTGCGCCACTTCCCTATGTTGAAGCCGCTGCTGCACGTTCGCGCACCAAGCAGCACACGCGGACACGGGTGCAAACTATTGGTACCGGATTTAAAGCACATTGCTCACCCTGTATGCTTCGGGCGTCGAGTGGTGAAATAGCAGAACAAATTGCCGGAGACGCCAGGCGAGGCGAAATCGGTATCGGAATTTAAGAGATTCTTTGACGTCCATTTCGCGAACCACAGGTATAAGGAGCGTATCGCACCCGGATAAGATGTAGTGCATCTGCAATATGCTGCCACCGCGCAGGAATCAGCGACGTGATTCCGCGCATGTGCCCGATCCACCTACGATGGAGCAACACATACTTTTATTTTCTCCCTCTTTATCCTCAGTATTCAGCATCTATCGATCAAGATTGAAGCGCGACGCAAATGGATTCACACACATATCCAAATTGACCGCGTTCCACCTATGCTCAGACCGAAGTTCTCATGCTGGGTGGTAAGGTCGATTCCGAAAGGTGAAAACCCAGCAAGCTAGACACTTACAGGCTAAACTGCGTGACATCTATTTTGGCAAAGGCTGCCGAGAAGATTGTGAAGAAGAGCCTGCTACAGCTGTTCCGGTCCATAGATCTCCTGACGAACGCACAACACGGCTTCATGCCAGATCGTTCATGCATCACCAACCTACTCGTGACGAGGCATGAGTGGTTGCAAACAGTGAACCAGGGGAAGTCTGTCAATGCGATGTACATCGATTTCAGAAAAGCGCTCAAACGTACCTTCTGCATCTGGTTTAAGGAGATCGCCACAAGCCTATTCTCCTCCATCATAAGACCAATACTAGAGTACGGCTCGCCAGACCACTCTAGGCGAAGCGCAAAATATCGAATGGATCCAACACGTCGCTACTAGGCTCATCCCTAGTTTGCGAGGCTTGTCGAACGAGAACAAATGCGATAGACTAGGACTGTACACCCTGGCCTATTGCCGTGGGCGAGTCGACATCATCATGACCTGCCTCCATTCTGCATCTAGGTGACTTCCTCATGCTACGGCCACTGCTCCAATTGCGAAAAACTTGTGGCACACGCGGACACCAGTACAATCTTGTGGTGCCGGATATAAAGCGAGCTCCGCATCCCCTGTGCTTTGAACGGCTAGTGGCCAATGTTTGAAACCGGTTGCCGGAGCACGTCATGGAAGCAAACGCGGAGCAACAGTCCGAAATATTGCTGGATGCATATTACCACAGTGTCCGATTCCGAGGATAATGCATTTGTGAGTCTGATGCAAGAACGGCAAGTAACCCCGCAAAAATGCGCCACAACCCCCAATCCGTAGGTTGAGCCATGCAGAGTTCATTCCTATCCACAGAGCAGCAGAATTCAGCCAGTACGAACAATGTTCTTCCCTAAACCACGCGCCCTACGTGGTAATTCATTTCGCCCAAAAATGAACCATTGGACCATCTGTGATTCAACCTTTGTATGTCGTGAAAGAACTATCAGAGGTCCGCTTTGCCTTGTCTCCACGTGTGGGCTTGTTTGGGTCTCGCGGGGTCACCTGACCGTGTGCGTCGTTCTATACTATTTTACAGGCATGTTAGCGCATTGTACCAAGCAGTTAGCCTGGCACTTTTTCGAAATCGTCCGCTGTGCCTTCAAGTTAGCGAGGCTAAGAACGCTGTTTTGGCATCGTTGACACTCTCATTGGTCATGGGACGTTGGCCAATGGGACACGGGTTGGAAGCCCCATGTATAAGCGACAGACAGTTCAATGAAAGTGATCGAGCACCACCATGTGATACCCTCATGCGCGTCTGAAGGAAACCCCGATGATTTCTCTCCAAACGGAAACCGACCAATGGGTGACTTGTGCTGCCTTTCTAAGGAGAAGATCATATCTACCACATGATCCGAAGCTTACGACGTAACCAGTGCGGACGGACATGCAAACAATCACATGAAGCGGTCTATACTTATTGATCGCTAGTCGCTACATAGTGGTGCCTTATTTCGGCGGCTTAGCCGTAGTTACGATGGTGGCTTAGACAGGCATTATTCTAACTGGTATTCCGCAGTCCCTTAGGTCTGAGGGAGTCAGTCAGGCCTGCATTTGCGGTTAATCAGGCATGCGCCGTGTATAGGACACTGCACACCATAAGGTGAATCAGCAACGGCACTCCTGTAACCCGTCTAGAGTTGGTTTTAGACGGCATGACATTTTGAAAGGAAAATAAATCAATAGAATCACAGCCACCGTCTTTAGGCAAATAGCAAGAGTAAACCTATGGAGTTGATTCAAGCAAGTGTAGTTGATTGCGGCGGAGAAGGGGAAACCTGTTGCAAATGAGATTAGATAAGCCTAGGACTTGCGTACAAATGGAAAGTTTGCATTCGTTCAAGTTGCAGAGCCCGCCTGTTGTGGTCTTCCAATGCGTTATACGCTGAGGTGAATAGTGTATCTACGCATTGCTAACGTAGTGGTTGAGTTGTGTGCTGATTGCAAGCTCCCTGGTTAGATAAGAACGTCTTTGGTTCTGTAGACATTGTTCTAACTAGGAGGATTAAAGTCTGGCGGTGACAAGAAGTTAGTGAGTGTTTGTTGGTCTACACACCCATGGGCGACTAGTTAATCAGTTATCGCTTCAGTGTCAACAGGTATGGCGTAATGTAAAGGTCATAGAAAGGTGCCGGAACCTATGTATTCACAAGATAACTAAGCTTTACTTCGATATAGTCGCCCATACGTATTGAGACGCTTTGACAAGTGGCTCTCCAAATGGCACCATTACAATCATAGTCAATCCAAATGCAACCTCCATATTACTTTCTTGAAATGGAATCCTATCCTCATGAAATCGGCATTACTTAACAAAGAAACACCTAAAGAGGCTACAAAGACTACCGCATTTATAAATGTCACATCGTAGTGCAAGAAAAAACGCAAAGGCCGATAATTAGTGGCGACGCAGACATTTTACTCTGGTAATTCAGGCGAGTACTTGGAACAGACGAACACTGTTGTCTCACCCACGGGCGTTCCTACAGCATGTTTGCAATCATTTACAAAGGCAACCCTGCCCACTAATCTTGCTATGGACCATTGTTCCAGCCAATCTTAGAAGTAGTCATGGGTGAACGCCGTGACATACGCTGTTATCGACTTGGCAACTGCTCGGAAACCTTTTGTCATTGGAAAGTAGGTAATTCCGGAGGCATTGTTGAAGAAGGAAAATTGCTTCAAACATTATGCATACAATGCGTATGCAGTGTTTCTTGACGGGTCATATCAGGGCCGTACGGTCACCTGGTATTTCAAGCCTACCAATCAACAGATAGGCGACCGACCAACCGAGTCAATTGTACTGCGAACCCTCAAGCCTGTCACCAGCCTGCAGGTAATTTTAAACAAGATAGCGGTCGTTTCAACATGTGCTCTTGCTTAAAACTATCCGCACATTCCGTGCCGTACCAATGTGCGCCTGAATGAAAGCCGACGAGTTCTCTCTGAAGTCAAACCGTCCAATCGACATGACTGCAAGCGTCCATACAACTGCAAGCGTCCATACAACTGCACGCGCGCACAGCGTCACACCTCTTACTCTTCCCTTTGGTGTGGTCGCAGACTCGACCGCGTGATACGCAGCGGTGCAAAGCACGCGAGAACTTCACTCGGCTACGAGTGTAGAGGAGCACGTAAACTACCAACTGAAGTGATTGAGAGTACTGGTTCGTCAGCCGTTTCCTAGCCGTGCTATCATTCAACAGCTTGGCGATGGGTACGATGGCCTCGTACCGAGCCATTGTGGCAGCTCGGTATTACACAGCGCATGAGCTGTGGCGGAATTAGCAACGCGTACATGTGCGGTGGGCCTATCATGCACACCATAGGATAGACGGTGCGCATTCAGCCTAGGCAAGAAAGGGCACGCGGTCTAGGTGCCCGTTCAACGCGCATAGTAAGTGTGTTGCGCCTAAGTCTCACGGGTCGTACAAACTTCGAGTTTCCACCGGTTACCTTGTCGTGCGTGAATATAGTTCCGAGTCACTTTCGTTCGGCTGACTAGGAGAATTGTTGATATCAGATCGTCAGAGCCTGGTGTAACCAAGAGGGAGTCATAACAGTCCGTCAGGGACAAGCGTTTATTCGGCAAGATCAACTCGGCTAAAATTACAGCATGCATGGCAAGCTAAACTCCTCGATTTACGTCGCGCGTTCACGTCCATAACTAACGATCCTCTGAGTCGATGAGGTTCCTCCTTGGACTCAGGTAAACGAAGCGGAAGTAACTGACACGAATGTCGGTAAATGAGCGTCCAGTAATCGAATCAGTTAATCCCGTCTCCATTGGTTGTCTGGTTCCCTCGGTTGGTCCATCTGTTCAAGCTGGTATGACACTCCTATCGATGATAAAAGCGGCCACAAACAGCATGAATGCGGAGCAATGTTACTGCCGTAAGTACAAGACGCCATGTGTCCACAAAGGCACCGTAATCTGTCCTTGATGGGTAGGAGTAGGTGCCCCACACGCAGTCTAGCCAGGTTGCGGTGCTCATCTAATAAGAGGAGACTGATTGATTACCGGTTGTGTGGAATCGTCTCGGAACCCTAGGAAGTATCCCCACTTCGACTTCACGTAGATCATTCAAGCTAGCAGTTTAGGGAGGAAACAAGGATAAATATGCAACCACATGGATCATCCGGCCTGTTGAGCACATCCACCTTCGTAATCATAACTGTCAGGGCTGCAATTAGCTCAACGGATGAAGAACCACATACGGTCGACCGAAGGAGAGCATGTTTAATTTAGTTTCTCCAAAGAGGACATAATAAGATGGAGAAATTTAAAGGCACAGCAAAGAGCTACTGACGTGTAGACTGTTGAGGAGCGCACGGAGACAGTTCGAAGTGTAGGCATGGTGAAGAGACAGCAATATAACGTGCGCACAACCTCGAGAAACACACACACACACACACACACACACGAATAGTGGTTACCTTGTATGACTCCATGGTGTATTTCATCTGATCCAAATCGTGCCGAAGAGAGGATAGTTTAGCCTCCTTTTTTGGTTTGGCCTCCTTCTTCGCCCGAAGTTCTTCCTTCCACATATGCATGTCCTTCTTCAACTTGTCAAAAGTCATTCTGTCACGGAAGATAGGGAGGGAGAGCGATGGGAGAGAGAAAGAACAGCGCGAGTGAGTCATTGTGTTAGGCAAAGGTGAAAAGTTAGGAAATGGAAACAAATCATGAAAACCTCAAAACGCATAACGTAAAGGCATCAGCAGTACGCCGGTACGCAGTATCGACGCTTCGCTGCCGCGTAACCACCACCAGTCGCAGGTGGGCTAAGGATACTGCGAGGGTCGCCCGGCCCTACACAGCTCGAACCCGCGCCCTCGGATTACGAGGTAGGCTTGTGATCCTTAGGGCTACAGGGGGTCAGTAGTTCAGAAGGACAAAGCAGATCGAGACCAGAAGCGTCTTGCTGGGTTATAAGTAAGAAAACCACGCAAAAGGCAACGCCAGGTGCAAGCCATATAAAGAGAACACAATAGTCAAGATCAAATACAGCAGAAAACACCAACATCAACAGTATGGTATGTTAAGGCTGCGTCAGGGTAAGGTAGAACCAGATGTCTAGACGTACACATTTTTCTAGTGGTAGCATGAATTTAACAGCAATCGACAAGTTAATATTATCAGATGGGACATTTCAAAGTGGACGCCACTGACACCGTATCCAGCGAATGATGTATCAGCCTAAACCAACAGTTACAACTTGCAAGACGAAAAACCACAACTCGGTTCAGATTGTCGATGAATTTCTTCCCAAACTCTTTCGCCGCGGTACTGAATGGCAACGTCTGGCGGTTTCGCCCAACCGATGCAACAGATCTGCAAGCATTCAGCGGCGACAGTACAAAGTGAACAGACAATCCGGTGAGACAACAGAAGGTCAGCTGACAACCATCGAGGTGAACTCCAGTAGTTCTCAATACACTAACTAAATTTGAACGATAATTCGTAGGAATAAGTATGCAAATGTGATCAGTGCGCAGCCGCCAGGTATGTGTTCCATACAGCAACAATAGCAAAAATACAGCATTAAAACCCCTTCTGTCTTCATAGGGCATAGACGATTGAAAGCCACACTGGCTTTAGAAATAGGTGCAACAACCTCAATGGTGTAGCAATCACTAGGGATATGATGCAGCCACCTAGATGAGTAAACCGATTGGCAAATCCGAATGACTGTTAGGTGACAAGAATTGGCCAAACCCTGTAGCAGTAGAATTTTACACTTCAAAACACAAGCCAAAGCAGGCAGTGCTACGCGTCCCCCTACTTAGCGGCGTTTGCATTGTTGATGGAGACGCCTGAGGTAAGAACGTATCCACCCACGAGCAGGCACTTAGGATCACAGTGCCTGAAGTTTGCCAACCCCACACGATGACAAACAACTGATTAGAAAGCAAAGGATATGAGTGACACCAAGCAAGTGTGGCTTTCATTGTATTGCTTTGTGAGCAACCTTGCCTCTCACGCAGGGACGACCCAGATGACAGCAAACGCACTACTGTCGCAAGCTACATGCAAATTCTCAAGCCAAGTACAAAGCGAATAGCGCCACATCCGAGGGCGGAGGACAAAACAGATAAACATTGCCCCTCACTTGACAGGTCGAGTTCGTCTCTCGTTCTCATATCAACCGTTGCCCCTCGAACCATAACGCTACTCCAGATGTGATGGGTGAAACAAAGTGCTTTTTTAGCAGTAAGTGGTGAGTCCGTGCACATAGTGCGCGTCGTCCCAGCAGCTCACAAACCCGAACCTCTAATCTTCAAGTCGAAAAAGTATCAGACTGTGTACCTTTTACATTTTACTACACAACCTTCCGGTCAGCTGATAACATCACCAGCTGTATCGACTGTTCTTTCAAACACCTCATACACTTTAATATGGACCAACATTCTTTTTGAGTCGCCGAGTGACTCTAGACCACCTCGTGTACAACATCTGGGAGCCCCAAAATACATTTATGGGAATACACGTTTTCAATCCCTTTTGACATCCAAGAATGACGGGTTAATAATCCAGGAACTCCGCAACCTAAAAGCGTTACCACAATACGCGTTTGACCAAAAGACGATAAGTGGATACGACAAGACAACCGTTTTGCCCTATTGGGGATCACCAGTGATGCGTGTTCTCTCGATCTCCTTCAAGGGACCGAGCCTAAACAGCAGCTTATGCCACAGAATCATGTGGCAGGGGTGGCAGATTGCCAGCACTTTCAGGTCTACTGGCTTGTGACCTGATGGGGCGAAATAGCAAAATGCCATCAGGAATTCTCTTTCTCAATAGCAACCTAGTTAGCATGGTCTGTTGGTTCGGTGAAATGCGCAGATCATCTCTGCCCGGTAACCAACGGAACCTCTGATGCCATGGAATACAAGTGGGATTTCCCAAGCAAATATTGCAAGGAAACTGACTGAGTGCTAGATCCTCAGACCGGAGAAAACGCCTCATCACAATAGGAAAAATAATCTTTGCAGTGGCCCTGTTGATATGGTCTTTGTAAACCAATGGCGTCGTAAAGGACGTCAAAGATTAGTAAAAATGGTTCATCCCTTGACAGAACGTGAGTAGTCATACCGCATCATTTCCAAGTTAGGTAAACCGATCAATAACCCTAACTTCCCAATGGTAAAAAACGAAGGAGAGGGAGCAATAAGTGAATAGCAGCCCTAAAACAGCACTTTACACACTAAGGGTGCATTGTTGATTCCTAAAATATGACTGCCAAGCATCAATATGGTGGTGCTGTCTGTGCAATCCCCAGAGTAACCAGTTTTCCCTCTGACAACATCTTAACTGTGTCTGCATGACTACAACGTCGTGTGACAGGGCGTCACATACGTGTAGTACGGATGAGTTGTGTGGGGCGGGGTGTGAAGCCGACCACAAGTTGGTGCGCACCAAACTGTGCATATGTTTCCGTAGATCTAAGACCTGTTCTTCTATCGTGAACCGGTGGAAACCATGCTTGTTCTGCAGGTGACGCTGAGAAGAGGTGCAGGTTGGAGAGCATAATGGTGACCTACCTTGGTGACTTTGAGTTCACTGATGCAGTCAGTGCAATCTGTAGCACTACCTCAAAGAAAAGTTGCGCGGTGCCCCCCAGACTGGATACTACTAAGCCAAGAGCGAACAGTAGAGGACGGGAACGGGTAAACTAAAGATCAAGACAACGTGCCAACAGAAGAAGGCTTGAAGACAACAGATAGGTACATGAGGGGAGAAAACACGGAAGTAGCGCCCGATGACGCTCTCGAATAAGAGCGCACTACGGGAGAATCAGGAAGACATTCGCAGATAAGTGAAATTGTGCGTGTGCGGTCAGATCTGATGCATATGATGGATGCTTGCTGTTACAAGAAGAATTCGCATCACTTGGGTTCCCCAGCAGTATGTGTCGAACGCGAACTTGCCATGAACTACAGTTGCGGAAAATTCGCAGCACACGATAATAGTATAGCAACTACCGGAGTAAAGGTGTGATCTATATACATACTCAAGAGTAGGGGATTTTGATGTAATTAATCGAGCGTTCGCCGCAACAGCTTCCAAATCATATAGTCGTCCACATGCACGGAGAAGCACTAGGCTGATGTTACAACCTGTTGGGCATCATCGGATGTAACAGGATTTGAGTCCACGACAACCAGTCAGCGGCTTTTGCTCTTGACCTCGAACGACAGTGTCGGATCGTCATGAGTTACAAGTCAACTGCAATACAGCGAGTCCTATCTTCCACGGCCATGCGTTACGAACATTGCAGAAGACAGGGTTGACAGCGAAGTCCACCAACAGTAGCTATGTGCGACATAGCACCTAGAAACTTAGAGCGGATATATTTTGATGTACTCACGAGTAGGGAATTTTGATGTAATAGAGAGTTCGTCGCAGCAGTTAGCTTGTAACTAATGACGGTGCACATTGTCCCCCGTGAGGCAGTGGCATAAGCTGCGGACTAGCGGTGCAAGCCGCTGGTGGTCATGGGTTCGAATCCTGAAGGATCCGATGGAGGAATACAAAGTTACATCCGCACATTTCAAAGCATGAAGGTTCCCAAAATGCCCGTCTATTCACAGTTATTCTTCAAAGGTAACGTCGTGACGGCGCAGCTTGAACGATGGGTGAACACAGCTATTCGCCGTAGATTAAACGCCGCCAAACTCAGTCCTAGTTGGATAATCAGAAATCTGCCTACACCTCCAGTGAAACCTACTCAACCGGTCTCCATCACAACACATTAACATGTACCAATTGCGCTGTAGCTGCAGAAACAGCCATAATGGCAGAACATATGGTCGTCTGAGTAATCCGGAACATATTCCGAAGCAAGTCGCTGGGCTGATGGCACAATAAGCAACCGGACGAGTAGCAACAGGCAAACTGCCGGCGTCATCCATTGCTAGACACCTAATCGGTACAGGTTATCAAGTTAACCCGAACTTAAGTGTTACGATTGTTTACCGAAACGAAAACGCTACGGCGCTGACGTATGCCGAAGCTGTGACCCTTAATCGGTGCAGTCCTACTCTTTGTACAGAGTAGCCCTAAAACCTCCCTGGGGTTCATGACCTTTGCCCCAGCCTAGTCATCTGCTGTTTTGTGCCTGGGTGCTTTCCCTTTTGACCAATTCAAAACGATTGGTTCCTTCGTTCACATGACCTAGACATGTTGGTAGTTTGCAAGCGATCAGACAATAGGAAATGATGCTATCTTGCAGTGCTCGTCCGCGCTGTATTAGGTTCACATCGAAACCAGTAGTTGATAACGGCTAACTGCTGATGATTGTTGGACAAAAGGCTTTCGTCGCCTAATCAGCCACCGATCTAAATAAAAAAGCCAACAACCACGGAAGAGGTCCCTGTAGGAAAAAAAACGCACTCATGTTTTGACCGAACTGTGTCTTTGCGTTGAATGTCATCAATGATGCGATTAATCTGCGCGTCCACTTGCTCCTTTCTCTTCGCATTGTTCTCCCGCACATTCTCCGTCTCTTGTATCTCCATCTCCGTCTTTTGTTTACGTTTCTGCAACTCCAAGCGAGACAAACGATTGTCGTAGTAACCGCCTGTCAGGGTGCCCTTGCGAGATACCTGGTCTCCTGTAACAAAACGGAGCATGTGAACAGCGATGTGGCATCAGGTGGACATAGTTTGATGCGAACAAATGATTTATGCATTGTAGTTGAGAAGCAAAAACTCTCCAGCCTATAGATGGGTACAAGTTTAGCAAGAATAGCAAGTGGGTAGTGGTGGTTGAAGCCATTTTGCAGTCTAGGTAACGGTAAAACACGAGTGAGTATGCAGTAAGAAAGGAGTCAGCAGTACGCCGGTACGGCAGTTTCCACCAGTTTGCTGTGCGAAAACTCAAATAAAATACGGACGACAATAAAACGAATTCCTAAACAAACGTGTACGGTTCCTTGTATCTTGCCATAAAAAATAATTATGTTGTTTGATTGAATTCCTGGTTGTGATATGGTACAAATTCGTATATAACTAAGGAAAATACAAGTTGGTGCTTAGAAACAAATAAGTGCTCGTTGCAATAGATGAAGGATGGTGAGAACGAGTTTTTGACGAGTGGACGGCTACTAACGTGAAAGGGAAGTGTGCACACCTGTGCATAACTTAATATAAGGATACAACATGGCGTTTGATGGCTAGCATCTAGGAATTAAGGTCGAAAACAATCAACCCTTATATACGAAACCTGCTAAATTGTGCAATAAAACAAAAAATTGGAGATTTCAGCAATTCGATGGAAAACTGATGCAATAAATTGTTGGCCATATGCTTAAAAGCAGTTAAATGCTTTGCCCACATTAGAAACGTGATTTAAATCATTTCATCATTTTTCATTCAGCTGGCAGACTGGTGGAACGTTACCGCCACACACTGACGCATCGCCGCCGCATACGACTACCGACAGTCTCACTCAGGTTATGTGGATATTGTGAGGTCGAGCACTTCTACAGAGAGGATCAAAGCGGTGGACCTGTGGGTTTAGAAGCCACAAACCCCGGTCATCGGCATATGGGATAATGAATCTGATGGGGACAAAAACATGTGGCTGTTTCGTCGAAATGAAACGCCAGTGCAGTGAGGGAACAGAAGTAAGCAATTACGAAACAATAACAAGGTCTAGATTGTGATGTGGAATAGATGCGTCAACTACCCACCGACCTTGACGGCACCAAGCCTGATGGGACTGACAGGCTCCTTACCCTGATTCTCAGACACATATCAGCCATCATCTCGCCTGCAATAACGGACCAGTTCAACAGATCGCTGTCCGAAGGTTCGTTGCCGATTAGTTGGAAATGCTCAGTGTTAAGGCCGGAACCGAAACGAATTGATTCCGGCAAAGGAATTTGAAATTGGATATTGCCTACCCGAAAACACTGTACTACTGTGACGCGTTTCAATATTATGATATCACATCAGATTCACTTCAATGGGAATCGCGGTCAACATTGAGATTGCGCGTCGCAATCCATCCACACAACGTGTACTTCAAACTCACTTTCCAATCTGTTATTTGCCGTTGTGCCAAGCTTTGCCCGTCGTGACCTGGTGGCTTAGGGGTGGCGGTCACAACTAACATCCCAATGGTCCCGGGCTCGATGCCTGCTATCTCTATCTGATGAGAGGAAATAACCTCGAAACGCGTCATGGAGTGCATTCAGGCGGGCAACACCCAATTTGCTGCTGCTTCATCAGCTACGGTCCTAGTGATCGAATGGCCAAGATTCACTTCAATGGGAATCGCGGTCCACTTTGAGATTGCGCGTCGCAATCCATCCACACAAGGTGTACTTCAAATTCACTTTCCAATCTGCCATTAACCGTTGTGCCAAGCTTTGCCCGTCGTGACCCGGTGGCTTAAGGATAGCGGTCACAATTAACATTCCAATGGTCTTGGATTTGATGCCTGCTAACTCTATCTGATGAGAGATAATAACATCCAAACACGTCATAGTAGTGTAGTGTTTTCGGGCGGGCAACACCCAATTTCTATTTGCATCGGCTACGGTCCTCGTGATCGAAAGACCAAGGTTCACTTCAATGGGAATCGCGGTCAACATTGAGATTGCGCGTCGCAATCCATCCACAAAACGTGTACTACAAAATGACCCTCAACATCGTACATACCAATTTGATTGACATCTATTTTGGGCAGCCTTGTCGAGAAGGTTGCTACAACTGTTCCGCTTAAAAAATTTCCTGACGTCAGCGTAGCACAGTTTCATGCCAAGTCGTTCATGCATCACCAACCTGCTCGTGACGAGGCATGAAGAGTTGCAAGCAGTATCGATGTGATCTAGATCGATTTCAGCAGTGTTCAACAAGGTGAAACATGAGGTCCTTCTCCTCAAGCTGAGTGTGCGGCGCTGGTGACTCACTGCACCAGTGGATTCGCGAGTATCTCGTTGGACGAAAGTGGAGAGTGCTAGACAATGGCTACATGACCGACTGGTTTCCTTCGACTAGTGGCGTACTCCAAGGCACGGTGCAGGGGCCTACATATTTTCTAATTTACATCAACGATCGATCACATCTTCTTCGGTCGTCGTGTGACTTGTTTGCCGACGATCTGAAGATGTGAAGGTATAAGCACTTCCGACGACTGCGGCCTATTCCCATGGGGTGTTGTTAGGGTTAGACCCAATCTAACCAGAGTGGAATTTAGTTTTTTGAAAACCGGAGCCAGACGGCGTCGCGGAACTGTGTTCGAAACTTGTTACTGTGTCACAAAAAGTGAATAAGCTATATGTTCCTGATCGAGTGGACAACTGACTACAGGTGCGTATACACAGATATGGCATGATTTCACCAAAACCTACGAATCTTGTGTTTGTTTCGCGTAACAGAACATAGTCCTTATTACCTAGTCCACACAACATACAATACTTGTGAAAAACCCAACTGAAATAAAATCACACATGTTTCGAGTATGACACACAGCAGTTTCGTGCTATTGACAATTGCCTTGTCCGGTTTTGTGTTCACCTTGCCGATACACACTACCAACCAGTATCGGGTTTTCTGACAATACCACGGTATACCGGCTAGGAGTCGGTGGAATCCCACCAGAATTCGTTCTTCCTTGCGCGACCATAACAGGTCTGCAGAAGTTCCCCTCTCGGTCACCTCAACACCAAGTCGGCATTCATGAGTCTGGGAAAGTGTGGTGATGCCTGAGCTTACACATTCGACGGTCTACTGCTACTCCTCACACATTTTGTGTATAATCTTACGCTGCGAGTTGAAGCCTGTGGATAACTGAAGCAGTTTACATTGAAGCAGAATGCGCATGGTCTGAGCTCATAAACACCGCTTCTGTATCTGTTCTGAAGAGGTTGCAACTCACTTTTTCTCTTCCACCATAAGACCGTTGCTGGATCAGGGTTCACCTATCTACTATCTGACCCCCTGAAGGCGAGGCGCAGAAGATCGAATGGGTCCGACACGTCGTTACTAGACGCATCCTCAGTTCAAGGGATTTACTGCAGGAAGACAACTGCGAAAAACTGGGACCTAACACCCTATCCTATCGTCGGATGAGAGTCCACCTGGCTGGCTTGCTAAACTACCTCCTAGTGGTGTCATCCGAGTGATCCGGAATTATCCCGCTCCATCGAAGTGTCCGGCAGCAGTGTTTCAGGACGTTGCAGGTATTTGCCTGACAAGCGTTATCCCTATAAAAAGCCACAAACACCTACTTAATAACAGTGCGACGTGACGGATGTGCCTCGCCACTAAATACAGACACTGACACTTGCTCCAGTAAGTGGGTGCTGACAGCATGTAGAGAAACGGGTCCCTGTTTGACAAGCGCCCAGACGAAAATTATATGAAATGAGCAGTCAGTCACCGAATCCCAACGTGATTTCCTGAAGTTTCCCCGCTGTTTTGTGAGTAGGCTATTTAGCCAAAAGCTCGGGAGTGGTGACTCCTAAGACTACTCCCTACGGTTTGAGTAACCGGGTAGTATTACGCCCACTGGCAAATCATGGATCGCTAATTGCTATGCGGAGCTCAATTACTTTCGCTACCGCTAATCACACAGCACTTGTTCATTTGTTACCAATTAGTGCTGTCCATTACCAGCCGATACTTGTCTCCATGATTCCACTCCCGATGGCTTCGTCAAGGCCCATAGAGCCCGACCAGTTGCCCTCCTTCGGCTTCGATCCCCCTTCCGTCTGGCATGCTTTAATGCATATATACATACACAGATCGGGCATCAGGTTGGTCTAGCGCGTATCTTGGAATCCATCGCCATCGATGACTATTTTCTTTTCGAAATATGATTACAAGATCCAAGTAATGTGATTAAGCCGACATTCTCCACAGAGCACAGGACCATATTTCGCCTGCGTCTATCTGGTGGTACAGAAGCAGCCGCAGCAGGTTGGAGTGTCATTTTGAGGTAGTTTTTGTGTGAATGGGTTGTGAGGCGAAATCTGAATGTGGAAGATGATTCGTATTGATCTGATCCTTGGTCAAATCGATCACTGGGACTGTAAATAATGAAGCAGATAGATATTGGGTGCTACCAGAATGAAAACACTGCACTCCAACGGCCCGTAGCCTAAAGAATCACAAGCGTGCCTAGTAATTCGAGGACACGGGTTCGAGCCTGCGTAGAGGACCGAGCGACCCTCGCAGTATCCTTAGCCAACGTGCGACTGGTGGTGGTTACGCGGCCGCAAAGCGTCGATACTGCGTACCGGCGTACCCTTGATGCCTTCCTTGACGGGAAAAGCTTGGCACAACGGCTAATGACTGACTGGAGGATCATTTTTGAGTACACGTTGCTCCTGGTACGATGTCTTCTATCTCCACTTGATGAGATCAAATGAAGTTGAAACGCGTCGTGAAGTGTAGTGTTTCCGGGAGAACAACACTCAATATCTACTAACCGCAGCCGGCTTGGCTAACGTTGGTGTAGCACTCAGTAACAAAGCCGAGGCCACACTCCTGGACTGGTTCCCGATTAATAGACGACTGTGAGCGGTTCTGCTTCGGGAATCATGCAAGATCAACAGACCTCGTGAGGAGGGACGCAAGCTGTTGGTGACCTCAGCGTAAGCTCCAGCTAACTACAGTTCGGACTCAGTCCAGGACGATTTTTATTGCGAACTACACTAGCTGCTGAGCAGAGCTTGCAAATCCGATACCGTTATACTTGCTGTGAGTCTCAAAGCACGGCTCGGTTGTCTATTATCAAGGTAGTGACCATACGCGCGATGAAAGCTACTCAGGTAATAGAGTTCTCGCAGTGTGAAGACGATCGTCTCTTTCTCTCCAGCACAAACTTCTGGTATTCGAAGAGACATTCCGTTACTTGGCGCCCCCTTCTGCGACTCAGTAATGGTCTCAGATTGACCACATCACTATCAGTTACAGACGGCGAGGTAGGGTAAAGGATTTCAGCTCCATATGGTCTACATTCCTCGACTCAGATCATGCTCTTGTTTGTGAGAACATCTGCGTGAGTTCTGGAAGATTTCAAAAAATGAAGCCCTGTTAGACTGACACAAATCGATTACGTGTTCCCTAGGTTTAGCGAAGATATTAATCTTCGTTGACCGATACACACAGCTGCGACTCATCGCAAGACATTGATGAACACTGGACGTTCTTGCGGAAGACCTGGAGCGCCAGCCGGCTCTAGGAGCCAGACTAGGGGGTGGAAAAGAAACCTACCGAAACACTCAAACTATTCTATCATGTCAACAAAATAACACATGAATTGAGGGACACGTCACGAATAGGCTCGTGATCGGCCCTGGGTGACCGACCACTGACATGCATGCGATGCCATTGTGGTCTATTGGCCCAATGACATGCCAAGGAAAGCGAGTTTGTGCACGGACGCTTGTTAGTAATGCGTACAAATACATCGTGATCAACCAAATATTTCAAACGTACCATCCAAAGTGATGCAATCAAAGTTTTTAGTTCTGGCCAGCTGTGTCGCGATTTCTATGCTTCGACAGATCAGCGTTTTGCCGAAAATATGCAACATCACTGAGCGAAATTTATCGTCGAAGTTGAGTCTGGAAATCATCGGAATAGCGTCCTGTAATCGAGCGGCAAAATGCATTATCCAATTGACGAAAAGAATGGAACATAAAGAATGTGGACAGATTGGGGCTGGCAAGGACAAGGATGTAAACAGACAATCATCTCGGGGTTGTATTAACATTGCCCAAGAGTTAGGAGAGATACGAATGGATACGAGAGAGTTGAAGAGCAGAGATATTCATTCTAATGAAACAATGGGAATAACACACCGGAAGTGGTCCAAATCGCATGAAGACAGACAAACGTACGAGCAATGTAACAAACGTTAGATTTCCGTTGTAATCTGCCTCGGTGACCCCCAATGGGACATTCGCTGGTCGGTCATCTACGGTAGCATCGGTTGTGGTTGACAGCAGAGCTTGAGGACCGTCATGCGCCACATATACTATCACATGCATGGATCCGACTGCTTCACACTTTTGTGCAGAGGATACGGAACATAAAACCACTCAGAGATAGTGGGTCACATTTCGTTAGTTAAAGTAGCTCTTGTTGTGACATCGCAAAATTCCCTACTCTGCACTGGCTTCGCGAAATGTTCGGCGACAATGTCCCACCTCAGTGAGACATTGTAGTCCAGCAATTGTGCTGCTTTTATGGGGAATATTTGGCCCCTGTTCGGTGATCTAACAAAGGAAAAACGCATGAACTGAACATTCATTCGGCGACTCAAAATCGGCGCGATTCACTGAATTCGCCCCGCTCAGTGTTGTTGTATGGGAGCGAATCCTGGCCGATTCGCGTGGAAGATATGCCTTGTCTTTCTGCCCTCCATAACGGTTGCTTAAGGAGGGTTGCTCGTGTTTGGTGGCAACATCGAGTTAACAGTAATGACGTTCGACGTCGTATCTTGGGGAATGCGAGTATTCCCTTCAACAAACTGGTTTTGCTGCGCTAGTTGAGATGGCTCGGTCACGTCCTTCGCATGGCACCTGAGCGCCTACCGCGTCACGCTTTATTCGCTCGTTAGGGACGTGGCTGGAAGCGACCGCGTGGTAGTCAGCCTTCCACTTGGCGGCAGCACATGAAATCGCTGACGTCGCGTCTAACCGCCGTTAGACCCGTACGTCTTCCAGGATAGGGACCAAAAGATGAGGAGTGCCAATGGCTTAGCACACTTGAAGACATGGCCCGGAACCGGAATCGGTGGAAGAATTGCGTACAGAATTGTATTGATTCAAATGTTTAATACTTCAAATATTGGACCTGACAAAAGAAATATCGGCGTGTGAAAAACAAACTACAAATGGTTTAATCTACTTTATGGCAAAAGGTGCCTTTCTCCCTGTGGCATAGTAGCTGAAGTGTGTTGTTCACCTTCAATTACTATGCCAGGATAATTATGACACGATGACTTCCCCTTATCCGCTAATCTCCATGGTTTTTGTCGGCTCTATGTCTGGTTGCTAGATTGTTGAGATTACATACTGATGGTTATTACGTTGTAACTCTTAGGTAGGTAAGAGTACGTTTTCTAGTGCAACAAATTATGAAAGGACATCATGTTTTGTTTCAGAGGTCGCAGTCAGAGAGGTTGGATGTGTAGGTTTCAACGTACAGTTCTCGATAAAAGAGTGAATCAGTAAACATAAAGCCCTCTGTGTACATTCTGGGTAATATTTCTGTTTTCACATATCACTCGATTCACTACAACAACAACAACAACAACAACAACAACAACAACAACAACAACAACAACAACAACCAGAATCTTTGTAATAATTTTATTTTATGAGCTTATGGCACGCGCACTAGGTATGTAGCATATCAAATCAGACACAACAACCTACCGGACAGGAAAACATATGAAGCGGAAGTAAGCACCACTTGAAGACCAATTTAAGTAATGTCACACACACACAAGACTGGTAACGGAATGAAAAGTATAGGAAGATAACCACTAAGAAAATGGACCTCAGCGTGATGCGATGGGTTGCGTGCCCCCACCGGCAAACAAACGACGCTGGGTGGAGAAGATTAAATGCTGCTCTCCCCACTGAGAAAACTGCATTCTAAGTAAGAATTCGTACGTATTTGCACTAATCAGGTAGAGAAAGAAGCATTGTAATACGAACACGGGATGTCAGCCGATGTCGCCACACGTAAGTCACCGAGTCGCACTGGTCAACACTAGGCACAACGCGGCTAATGACTGAGTGGAAGACTTCAGCTAACTTCAGAGCCACAGGGACGCAGTGTCGACATCCTACCTAGCGGCAAAGTTGAGGACATTACTCTCCCCGCCTGTATTGGCAATAAGCTCGTAGCTCGGTTGATATAAAGCACGAGCACCACAGGCTAACTTTGATGATGCGAGATAATTGTCAATACTCAAATGCTTGCCATCGCCCGCATCAAGCTGGGCAGCTCCTGATAATTGAGGCGAAAATTCCCTATGGATCACGATCTCAGGTATGCCCTGTGATACGGTTTGAAAATTCACATACACAGCTCCGAATACTCCAAGCAGCCGGTATCGAGTGGATACTAAACAAAATCCCCGTCACATTCCCATAGTTAACCTGCTGCTCCCCGGTTTCGCTTCGACCGGTGGCTGCTGGTGTGACGGTTCGCATACCTGTATCGGCCGGTATCCGAATAGGAAAGGCGTCTAGATTGTAACCCAGAGATTGCCGGTTAGAATCTGCATCGGTGCGAAGTCATCTCGCGATATCAGTGACGAGCGCGCGGCTGTCAATGGTGGTCGCGTAGCAACGAAGCGTCGGTGTGGTGCACTAATGATGTGTAATGTGCCGCTGTTCACTACACAGAACAAATGAGTCAAAGACTACGGAAGCAGTTTCTGAGGGAAGCCTCAAGGTATGCAACTTCGATGGGTCAGATTAATGAGTCAAAGTATGAAGGTGAGCGGATTCTCTCTTCCCTAGTCCAAATAATTAAACGTATGTGTGATTCATGCAGCACGCATGCTCAAATCAGTTGACTATGCAAGTTGGTGTTTGTCGTATTGGCATTGGCGGCACATTCTTCGAGTGCTTGCTGACGACAACAGCATAGTATTCTGGTACAAGCATTATCATCATTATCGAGTGCAAACGGAGACTCAGGTGGTTGCAATAAATGAGTTCCGATCAGATTTCCTGACCCCACGTCCTCTACCTATGGCTATGTAGTGCCTCGATGCTTAGAACACTCATAAAAATACAATTTCCTGGTTACAGAAAAGGTACGGTCAGTACTGAGTTTTCGAAAGGTGCCCGACTTTTCCGTTCTCCAGAAAAGTACAAACGTATATTACCGAATATAAGCGGATGAACTTGGATAATTTTTCGTTGCTGTAGAGGGGGGTCGATTAAAAAAAGCTATACGGAATTTGAAAATAGTGGCATGCAAAATCCATCCGGGAATTCACCGTCCAACGCTGTCCTTATCTTCGCTTAGCACCACCTGCTAGTGACGGGCGGCATTCCAGAAGGGGATTTGAAGTGCCTGTAAATGGACACGTTAATGTTGTGCCGAAAATTCTCGGTATATTTGCACATGTGACGTTCGCGACTGATGTCAGGAATGAATCAAATGCCCTTAAACATTGTTATGCCAGGCGATCCGGTGTCTCAAAAGTACATCGTTCGACACCCGTGACCGTGAACTTCGCTCTCATCCACTGCTCTACGGTGGTTCATATACATGAGGCCCCGAGTGTGCGGGTGGCCTGTCTAACAATCTCTCACCTTGCCTTATATTGTCGGCTGTCTTACCTGTTTGAGGTGACTTGACGTCTGATCACTAAACTGTCCGGTGCGGTGTAAGTCTGTTCGGACGCCCTACGCTCCATTAACCGAGATTATAACAACACACGGTCACCACAACTGATCAATAGTAGGGCAGATTTCACTTGAGGGACAGCAAGGGACTCAAGGGACAGCAAGTAGTGATGATGTCAAAAGCGTGAAGAAACAATTTTGTCTCTTTTGCTGATCTTTTAAGAGTCGGCTAATACAGGGACTTTCAACTTTGAACATACTTGGTGTTGCAAAGTTATATTGTTGGCTTATCTAACGACGAGCTTATATTCGGTAATATACGGTATCTGACTGGACCCAAAGTTATCAACACAGCTAAAAGCACTAAGCTTTGAATGCGGTAGCCGTGTCGGGCAAATACTTCTTCACTTTTCTTTTTCTTTTCCAGGTTCAGCTTCCTACATGCTGTGTGCTTAGATAGCGATCTGGCGGGCACCTCTACATGTTGAAATACAGACCTGGAAATAAATCAAATCCATGCGCCGAGCCCAGAAACAGAAGTTTTTTGTGAACCAAAGAAGTGTCGAAAACGAGACGAAGCCTGGCAGTAAGCGAGCGCTGGCCGAGGACCAACCTATGCCAATGCTCACTAGATGCATGGTCCCCGGCTAATCGATTATAGCTCGTCACACTAAGCATAGATACATGACACGCACCACTTCCACTACAAGATGGCAGCCCAGAAAAAGTTCCCTGAAGCATGAAGTGTGTGCTAGTAAAATGATTGGATAAATATGATCTTCAATGTAAGATGTATTCTTGTGAAAGATAATGAGCAAAGCGTTTATCCTAAATAGGAGTACAAATTTCGCGAACCCCAGAGAAGTAAACCATTATTATTATTATTACTATTATTATTATTATTATACAACCCATAGCATGCCATCGCAATGAGGCTGGACCTTACCGTGGTGCGATGGTTTGTGTGCCTCAGCGATCCATTGAGCTACGATGGGTGGTGCTTTTGCACCTTCAGAGTCACTCATACCAGATTGGTCAATGGTTAGAGGCCAGACAAACTCAGCCTCCTGGTCCTCCAGGTTGAGGGTTGGAATGAGGGTGGCACCTTATTCCTTAAAATGGACTCCTTGTAGCCCAACGCCAAACCCGCTGCCTTGCGGTCAGGTTTTTTAACCAAAGGCTTTGGTTGAGAACCCTAATCGTTCTCCTGTCTAGGCCTGGGCAACCTGAAAGTATCCTGCCCACACAATACTATGAATTTTCCTTCAAACAATTTCTTGATGCTCTGGCCACCGCAGAGGATAATAAACGGTGCCCTATCTGCTGCATCGAGCAGGGTGGATAGGGGTTTGGATGCTACTGCTCAAGCCTTCCCGTCTTCTTATTCCCCCTCTTACGCTTTTTCACTCTTACCGTCCCATTACAACTTCACTTATATCCCCCCAGTTTTCAACCCCCCGATTCTTGGCCCTCCCCCAACATGCTTTGCTAGGCATTTACCTTCTAATTTCAACTCACACGTGAACGCGGAGCGTCACTCCTCTCCTGTCGACAAGCCCATGTCCAACCAAGCGGTCCAATCCAGTTCATCGGCTTCCATTTGGAGCCCTCGATCCTCCTTCAGATTGGCATGCCTCAATGTACGCACACTGCTACAAATCGGTCAACAGGCAGCACTTGTCCGAACATTGGAGACCCTCTCGATCGATATCTGCTGCTTATCAGAGACTCGCCTGCAAGACTCGAGCACTGTGCTCACTCTGCGATCCCCTTCAGGGGACGCAAGCAGTATTTTCTCCTTGCGCCTATCCGGTGACGATGCAGCTTCGAGCACCGGCCAAGCCGGTGTTGGTATTGCTCTGAGTCCCCGGGCTGAAGCTGCTCTGGTGGATTGGATTCCAATCAGTAGCCGGATGTGTGCGGTCCGATTGGCTAGCTCGTTTAAAGCTTCGAAGTCGCGCGGGACTAATAGATGTCTACTCATCAGCGCTGCCTATGCGCCCACAAACTGTAGCGATGATTCGGTAAAGAACGACTTCTATCGCCAACTGACCCAGCTCCTTCGCCACAGAAAAAGCACGGACACTGTTGTGCTGGCGGGGGATATGAACGCACAAGTTGGAAAGTTGTCCACTGATGAACTGCATCTGGGCGGTCAACACGGTGTAGGCTCCCGTAATGATAACGGTGAGCGGTTACTTCATTTGTGTGAAGATGCTCGCTTATTTCTTGCGAGCACTAATTTCCGACACAACACCCGCCGAAGGGTGACTTGGCGCCCACCAGCCTTGGACGCAGATCGATCACATTGCGATAAGTTACCGCTGGAGAGGCTGCATCCAGAATTGTCGCTCGATTTGGAGCACATGTGTGGACACCGATCATGCACTTGTATGTGCTGACATGCGGATGCGTTTTGGCGGACGCCCACGACGATGCTGTGAGCGTATTGACACTAGCCAACTGACAAAACCAGCTGTTCTGAATGCGTATCGAAGTACGCTGACATGCGAGTTGAGCAAGCGCTCACAGGAGACAATTGATGGTCACTGGTCACATGTTCGCCAGACCTTACTAGCAGCAGGCAAATCCTCATGTGGTATGTCTAATAGACAACATGGACATTGGGTCTCTTCGCAGTCTTTGGAACTTATAGATGCTCGCCGGCAAATCCCGGCTGGAAGCGAGCACAATGAAACTCGCAAAGAGCTCCGGGCAAAACTCCGTGCTAGCCTGAAGAGAGACCGCGAATCTTGGTGGTCTCATCGTGCGTCAGAGATGGAGATGGCCGCTGCCCTTGGCAACCATCGTAAGTTATTCCGTCTGATACGGGAAACGGGCAGCAGGAGACCTGGTGTTAGTGAAACTATACGTGACGAGAGTGGACAGCCTATCCACAATTTGTCAAAACGTCTGGAGCGTTGGGCTGAGCATTTTGAAAAGCAATTTAATCGGCAAGAATTGTTCGATTCGCCGGTCATTGATCGCCCCGCTCCGTGGGCTGTCACTTTGGATCCACCCTCTCGCTCAGAAGTCGAACGTGAGATCGGACTGTTGAAGTTGAACAAAGCCGCGGGACCAGATGATCTTCCTCCAGCCCTCTTCAAATTTGGAGGCTCTGCTCTTGTTGATGCTTTGCATGTATTACTAGTGAAACTGTGGGAGCAGGAAACTGTCCCAACCGACTGGAGCCGCTCCGTTATTGTTCCCATCTTCAAAGGCGGCTCGCGCTCGGAATGCGGCAACCATAGAGGAATCAGTCTGATCTCCATCGCCTCCAAATTACTCGCCTCCATAATTCTCCACAGACTGACTGGCGCTCGTGAAAGCCAGATTCGTGAGGAGCAAGCCGGGTTTCGTCGGGGTCGTGGCTGCATCGACCACATCTTCACTTTGCGTCAGTTGTTGGAGCACTGCCACACATATTGGCGGCCCACCGTAGTCGTGTTCCTCGACATCAAAGGTGCCTTCGATTCGGCTGATCGATGTGCCCTTTGGAATTGTCTACTCAGGAAAGGTGTGCCCGAGAAATATGTAAATATTATCCAAGCATTATATGCGCGTAGCACGGGCAGAGTGAGGGCTTACGGCAGGCTGTCGCCACCCTTCAATATCTCCAGCGGTGTGAGACAAGGATGCCCGCTGTCACCTTTCCTATTCAACTTCGCTATTGACGAAGTCATGGAGATTGCATTTACAGGACATGACTTGGAAGGTGTGGAGCTACTCCCAGGAGAACGACTTCTTGACTTAGAGTATGCAGACGACATTGCCCTCATCTGTGACAGCTCCCAGACGTGTCAAGCCGCGCTGGACAGATTAGCACTGGCTGTCAGTCGCTTCGGGCTTTGCTTTGCACCACCGAAGTGCAAAGCGTTCCTCCAGGATTGGCAGGGTTCGCCCCCTGTGCTGACCCTTGGTGGAGATCAGCTAGAAGTCGTTCAGAAATTCAATTACCTGGGAAGTTGTACCAGCGCCCTTGGGATCGAAGACGAGATCACGAACCGTATAGCGAAAGCTCGAAGTGCTTTTGCTAACCTTCGCCACCTATGGCGACGGCGCGACATTACTCTCGCCCTGAAGGGTAGAGTGTACAATGCAGCGGTACGTTCGACCTTACTGTACGGTTGCGAAACCTGGCCCCTAAGATCGGCGGACATGAAGAGGCTACTTACGTTCGACCATCGGTGCCTTCGCAGTTTGGCTCACATCTGGTGGGAACACCGCGTGAGTAACGAGGGTGTTCGACGCCTTGTTTACGGCCTAGGAAAGGGGAATGAACAGCTCAGCACCGTCATTTCACTCACCAGGCTCCGATGGCTGGGCCACGTGTTGCGCATGCCAGCCCACCGACTCTCTCGACGTGCGTTGTTTGCTCACCGGGGATGTGGGTGGAAGAAGAGGAGAGGTGGCCAAGCGATGACTTGGTCCAGAGGAATGAAGGCCCTCACTTCGGAGCTGGCCTCAGTTGGAGCTTCACGGCTCCCTGGTTGGGGTCCAAAAGACGGTGAACACGTTTGGCTGGATACACTTGCTGATATGGCAAGGAGCCGACCTCAGTGGCGTTCCTGCTGTGAGTTTCTTTGTCCCTCCCCATCCCTTTAGCCTCCCCCTCCATCTACGATCTTATTTCGTAGGGTAAAACGTAATTAAATTTTTGTTTTTGCCTAGTAGCCGGCTAGTAGCTTACCGGAACGATGCGTATCCGTTGCTGGTAGCTCAGCTGGCATTCAACTGTCGTATTTATTTTTCCTTTATGTATTGTATGTATGTATGTAGTTCCTTTATGTATTGCGGTACAATAGCGGAGGTGTTTTACCATCTCTAGCTGACATGTATAATGATGATGATGATGATGACCCATAGCATGAGGGGTTGCAGGTGGAGCCAAAGTCACAACCCTGAGCTGTTGTTACTCTAACGAAAGTAGTGACTCATTCAAGTGCGCACTCCATGTCGATTAACTGCGTGCCAACGAACATGGGATAGCATACCTGTTCATGTGACTTTGAATATTACCCCTGATAAGGTGAATGAAAAACAGCTCGTGGGTCGCCGCACAAGCATCTCAGTCCGAGGCTAAGCCATTATAAGCGGATAAGCAGGACTAGAGTGGACCCAGGGGCTACATCGATAGCGTCAAATGTGAGGGTCGGACTATTCTTTCCTTGCTACTCAAGTATAACGCAGTTTCGTGATCTGCTGATGAATCGAACAACAATTTCCCAAGTGATCAACAATAGGTTTTATGTTGAAAGGCCAAGGTTCGAATTTGATACACTTAGTTCAATTTCAATAGCAAGAAATGAAGGTATGGTAAGAAATAGATGATCAAATTATGCCGATTCAATATAAATCTGGAAATCAAGAGTGCTGTCGCGGCCATTAATCGCACAGTGCTAAAACGATAAACCGCACGCTTAATGCATCCACTGTTTTGATAACTCTGAATAGGATCACACTTTATCGCCATCTGAAGTCAGTGAGCATACAATTAGGGTAGGTTGGAGCTGCACAAAATGAAGTCGAAAGAAAAAGGAAACCCCAGGCACAACGAATGGTTTGAGATAGCCAGCAACAAGTATGAAACAGAGGGCTGCAGAAGCAGAGAAAAATGACAGGAACGACGACAAGCTGACTCACGTTCGTCTCGGGATAATGTGATTCTTGGACAAATAAGCGGTTTATAGGCAGAAAATGAACCTCTCCGGGCAAATTGTGTTTGTTAATCTCCGCGATGATGCGAATGACTTGCTTGTCATTTTGCACTACATGGTAGAAAAGGCGGGAGCCTGCGGTGACCTCCACGCTGGTGTAAAAGGTCTCCGGACAATCGATCAACTCGATAAGGGTTCCAAAATAGCCCTGTACGATATCGCATTCGGATCCGTAACGATCGCGAAAGATCTCAATGACCTGAAATCGAGTTGAAATGGAAGAAATTGTGGCAGGAATAATCTCGACAGTTGTTTCTGTACCCGATCACTGTGTTGCCAAGGGAAGAGGACAATGTGATTGTCTTACTTAGTGTGGAATGCAGTGGCAACTTACTAGTCTGGTGCATAGAAAGCAAAACACGTACGAAGTCTCAGACAAATGTTACCCAGAAATCAAGTTCACAATGGAAAGTGAGTCAGCGGACACGCTTCAGTTCCTCGGTGTTGCCTTGAAGGAAAGATCGGAAGATCAATGTACCCTAAACTAAGCTGGAAAGGGCCGTATCCAAATTACAACGGCCAGTGTTTGCAGGGCTGTAAGCGATCCTTTGTTCGTACTTGTTTCGCGGGGGAGCTCACCGAATCTGCTCGGAATAGTCCGTCACGAAGAAGTCACAACATATTGGGTTCATCCTACATGATAGTTTTAGCCCCAGCTAAAGTGAAGAGAATGCTGAGAGAAAAAACAACCCAATGCCCTTTGATAAAATGGTATTCGTTACGAAGGAGTAGTGGTAGTAGTATATAAACTGGCCTGAGGAGGACACGAGCAAAATACGACCAGGACGGACGAGAATCAAGGCAGATTAGAACGACAGAATTACTGTCGAAAAAGGTTTATAATATATTACTGGATAATTCAGAATCACAAATAATACCGAAGTAAACAACTGAAGACAAAAAATTACGATATATGACACAGAAAACCGGAACAAACTGGCTTGGGAGCGAGGCGATATATTTCGAACCGGCCGAAGCAAATTGGCCCGACGACGACGCAGACTGGAACAAATTCGTGTTATCTGGCTCTGATGAGAACTACAAGGCGTACAAGGTACAGCGAAATCTCTGCAACAACATGAAAACAAAAAAGCGCAGAAGCTCCGAAGAGTAGCTTACAACCGCCGAAAAACTGCTTCCAAGAGAATCATCGCATACGTGAAGCGGCGCCTGCAGCTTGCAGGCCATGTTCCAGTGTTGGGAGGCTCAGATGGACAGTCCCTAACCTCGAGCACAGATCGTGCCTCCGCACTGGCGGCACACTTCGCCTCCGTATTTGCAAGTGACCAGGGGTCTGTAACGAGTTCGACGAGTACCGCTCCAGCTGAACTAGACAGCCTTGACTGCAACATTGAAGATGTGCGCAAGCTCCTAGCAAACCTTGACGGGACGAAGCCTGCGGGGCCAGATGGAATCCACCCACTGATTCTCAATTCCCTATCGGCCATCATCTCGCCTTCTGTAACTGAGCTGTTCAACAGGTCACTATCCACTAGACTATTACCGGGCGACTGGAAATGCTCAGTCGTAAAGCCAATACCGAAAGGTAGTAATCCAAGCAAAGTGGAGAACTACCGGCCGATCTGCCTGACCGCTGTTCTGGCAAAGGCGCTCGAGAAGATCATGAAGAAGAGCCTACTGCAGCTCCTCGAGTCGAAAAGCCTCTTGACGCCCGCACAGCATGGTTTAGTGAAATGTCGCTCGTGCATCACCAACCTACTGTTGACGAGGCACGAATGGTTACAAGCGCTGAACCAAGGCAAATCGGTCGACCTCATTAACATTGACTCCAGTAAGGCTTTTGACAAGGTAAATCATGCAGTGCTCCTCGACAGGCTGGCGGTATGCGGTGTTAGTGGCTCGCTGCACCAATGGAACAGGAATTTCCTTGTTGATCGAAAGTGAGGGTTTAGGTGGATAACCATTTAACCGACTGGTATCCATCGAGCAGTGGCGTGCCCCAAGGCACTGTAATGGGGCCGATTTTGTTTCTCATCCATGTAAACGATATGCCTCAGCTACTCCAATCACCTTGTGTGTTGTTCGCAGATGGCTTGAAGGTGTGGAGAGTAATCCGCACACCCAATGATTGCGACATGCTTCACCAGGACCTCGACCGCCTCTCGACATGGTCTGCAGAGGTTAACCTTCCGATCAACTCGGTCAAGTCGCAATTCATGAGGCTGGGTGTGAGCACAGTCGAACCTACACGGTGGCTGGTCAATCGTTGCATCCCGCGCCTTTCGTGCGCGACCACGGTATACTCTCACGCTACGACCTAAAGTCCATGGAAAACAGGAATAGGCTTTACCAAAACAGCCTTGGTATGCTTTGGGCGCTCAGGCGCAGTTTCAGCACTTGGTCCGAAGAGATCGCCACTCGCATCTTCGTTAAGCGGATCCAAGTTACCCGGCATTCGCTAGATTGCACTTAGAGCAAAAACGCTCGCGAATCATTCAAGGCTGTCAATAAGCAAAATATTCCAAGCCTGCTCCAGTTTGTCAAAGCTCCTCTCATCCGGCGACTGAAGCCCAACTATTTTCAAATAGGTTGACATCGTAGTCAGCCGAACCGTATCCTAGTAAAGTCCAAGTTCAGTTACTTGAGCCGATGACTCCGATCGTTACAGCACCCAAGTAAGTACTCGCATCGATCCCTTGTCACTGGCAACCAATTACCAAGACTACTGCATGGATATAAGAATGCCAGAAGACAACTGAATACACATTATCTTGAGATTGCCAAGTTCGTGGAAACAAATCATTTAGCAGCACAACCATAATAGTAACTTCAAGTGGTGAGTATCCACGAGCCTTTTTCTTGCTATGTCGGTAAATCTGCTGAAGGCATCAAAAGTGTTAGGTTTAACCACCCCAGTGAATATGAGGGTGTTTTCTTGAACAACCAACTAGATTAAGATGATCATGAGATAACAAGAAGCCGAATCTAAGTGCTAATAAGTACGACTGCCCTTATAGGTTTGGGTGGTTTTCGGGTCCCACATAAGCTAAACAGTTCCATTCAACTAAGGAGCGTAGGGGTCATGGATGTATTTAGTGAACAATAACCTCGTGTACGAGGTGAGTGCAGTTCATTTGGATGATCTGAACATGATTATGGAAAGAATGCTGGTCGCTTCTCCTAGCAGCTGAGACCTCATGCGCGCCGAACACCTTCCTGTGTGTAACAGATGAGGGGATGCAAAGCATGCATGAAACATCCGCTAATCGCGGTAGTTTGTATCAGTCGCCTAAATGCGGCAGTTCGACTTCTCCGAATACCGTCTGTGGGATCCGCGAACGAGCAAGAGAGTCACTAACGAGACGCAGTGATCCTTTGTAAAAGCAGTCCGTTTTGACATGAGCAGTGCGTGGGGGGTGCCATGAAGCCAATGTGCATGTGGATCGATGTTCGCGTTACTTCGATGCAACGTGTTTTCGGTCCTTAACGTCCCCATTATGTTGCTGCAGGGAAAAGTCACATGTCACCCAGACTTAGGTATAGATTTACATACATATATAAAAACGAAACCAAGTTGGCTAGTGTCCACAAATGTGAATTACACAAGCAGTTTCTTAGGAGAAAGTCTGCGACATAACTTCCGTGCGATCATCAAATGCCAAGAGAATGAAAAAGAGTATTCCCAAGACAACCAACCTTCCTGTAGGTCAGGTTCGTCCACCAAAAGAAAAATATAGGAATCTCAAGGAAAACAACGCCATCGGAATGTGTCCTTTGAGTGCATCGTATATGAACAAGAACTCCACCATTTTTTCTACTTCCGGGTCGGTACACATCACCTCCTTACTACAGGCCGGCCAAACTAGGCAGATCCAAGCAAGTGCAGAAACAACTGAGCCATGCAAGCACCACATTTGTGGCTTCGTTCCAAGATGAAACCGGTGTAGTTTGCACTTCTTGTTAGACTGAAAATAGGCGATATTCGTTCACCTTTCGCATTCTCGACGAGTTGGTGTGAGCCACTTGCCAAATACACACACATATACACATGAAACACAATGGTACCATAGGGAATTTTCGGAGAACGGGCCCTCTACCTAACTACAGAGGTCCCATTCCGTTTCTGACTAAAGTTACAGTACCGGTTAGTGGTTGAAGGCAAGTTTATGTAATAGATCCCAGAGAACAACCAGTCATCTGTGCGGAGAATCGAAGGCATAGCTAGGTGAATATCAGTCGTTGACCGCTACCAACCATTACCTCGATGGAATGGGTTTGGCCTTATTTGGATTTGTCGGAGAAGTGACCGTTGAAATCTAACTGCGATATAGCCCGACTCATCCTCCCCTGCCATGCAGGTTACTACCCGTGCAGTGGACAGTGGCTGGCCGTCTGGTGTGAGGAATTCTCTGGCCATTGCCGGAAATCCACACAGCATGTTGAGCACTGGAGGGCTTAGTTTTTGATAACTGATGAGTAGACGGATTAAGGTAATGTTTTATTTGGTTCAACACAATTAGATAACAAGTCGTAAGTGGGAACTCCCAATCGGGAAAAGCACCAGACGATCGTTTTGCCCTACTGGAGCTCCTCAGTGGTCCGCATCCCCTCGGTCCCCTGCTGGGGGAATCGGACCCATGAACGCTACTCTGGCTTTCACCACTAACCAGCAGCTCATGCACTGAGCGATGTGAGACGATAGCCAATCATCACAGAATGAAATCTAACTTCGAGGTAGCCCGACCCATTCTCCATTGCCATGCGGGTTATTGCCCGTGCACAGAACAGTGGTTGGCTGTCCGATCTCATGACTACCCTTGCCAGTGGCGTGAATCCAAACAGTATTTTTGAAGACTGGTGTGGCTCAGCTTTGATTACTAATGAGTAGACGGATTTTTGGATGATTTGTGGATTCGTTAAATAAGTGGCAGTTGTAAACTGGAACCCGGGAGGAACGGGTGAAAGACAAACGCCTCCATCGTCATATCATCGGGACACATGGTCAAAGATTGGCACAAAAGTTTGGAACTCAGTTTCGGGTTTTGAGACAGCCATTGTATGTGTGTGAGCGTGTGGTGTGACAAGCAACCATAGCTAACAAAAAGTGACCCTAGACGTTTTCAGTTTGGCCACTCAGTTGGCAAAGGCCGAAAAATAAGGTCGTGTCTCGTCACATAGTTCGTTGGACAGAGGATAGATACGAAGTGCTGATGATGTACAACAGCGAGACAATGGTCTGCTGCTTTGCAGAGCATATGATAGTGGCTTTCACAGGCCTTTGGGTGTAAACAAAAAAACTTGGGGTGGGAATTGGAAAAAGCGCAAAACCTGGACTTGGTAGAAAGGGCACGCTACCTTGCGAACGGAGTCCAAGCCACTTAGGATAGCTTTTCCGGTGATGGAGCGGAGATTGTGCTCAGTTCGAGCCAGTTCATCGCGGGAGTTGTTCAATTCGTGGGCGATCCGTGTCTCTTCCCGATAGACGGTTTGACGATCGGTTTGAATCTCATCCTTCTCTCGACGAAGGCGACGCTGTTCCTCTGCGACCTGAAACAATGGGAAAAGCGAGGAAAACATACGATTCCTGAATAAGATAGAGAGTAGGTCTTGGTAAACAGAATGAGTGTTCCGGAAACCAACGTAGATTCGCACACGCATATACCCATGCATGAAGGAGATACGCCGGTACTAAGACCAACAAGATCCATGTTGTGCGGTGCCACCTCTGTGTGTGCATAAATATTAATCCTGAGTTATATGATAGGTTAGACTGGCAGCGCTGGATAAGAACGCTGGTTAGGTGCCTTCCGTCTGACAACACCGCCTCCTCGATAACTGGTTTCGGAAAATCGCCTACCGTTTTTGGGCAGGACGGGGTGCACAGTCTCTCTGATAGTTTTTGGCGTAAAGAGCAGTTCGGTCGCGAGAAAACCCAGTACCAGTCCTGTGTACCTATGTTACGTAAGCGGTATGCAAGTTTAAGGAGTGTGGGCCGGGCGCGAAGCAAGTATGGCTCATATTTAAATGCCTCTCAGTTTACACTAGAGATAAGCTGTGTGTTGGAAAAACGACGCGGCATGGATAAATTAGGAAATCCACTCGACTGGCGACTGCATTATGCCAGACCACCGTCATTCTGGTCGACTGAAAAGCGAGGAAGAATTCGGGACAACAGCAACGTGGAACAAATAAGGTGGTGTCTGGAAGTTAATGCACAGATTCTTTGGGGTATTCCTTTTAATAATCTACTGTACAAGCTGGCAATATTTGGGTGTTGTTTCTCCCAACACTGGCAAACCATGACCGCGGTTTCCTCCTGGGTTGGACTTATCAGGTGCCGATAGCCTGAGATGGGATGTAACACAGAGCCTAGTAGTTCACGGCCGACGCCCCGGTCGTGGTGTGCTGTGTGTTGGGAGGAGCAACATCCAAATATTTCCATTTCGGATACGGTTCTCGCGATCGGAATGAACGAGGTTCACCTCTAAAGGAACGGAGGTCTCAATAGAGGTTACATGTCGCAACCCAACCACACAGCGAGTTCCGCAAATTCAACTTTGAATTCCTTTCCGCTGTGCCAAGCGTTGCTCGCGAATCTCAGTAGCGTAGTGATCAGGGCATCAGTCATGAACTACTAGGCTCTGGGTTTGCGTGGAGTGTCTATTGGAGGAGACGGGATCAAACTCCGTAATGGTTAGACACCCCAGTAATCCCGCAAGTCAGTGGCCAGTCAGCAATTAGTCACGTATTCATAACTCCTGATATGGTATGTAGTGTTTTTTATGTTTTGTGTCGATTACAAGATCACTTCCTCTTCATAGTCGCAGAACAAGGACGCGTAAACTATAGCACTACTTGGGGAGCGATAAGAAGCCGGAACTGGAAACGGTATGTTTGGTGATTCAAACATTTGGCTCTCAATATCAGCACCGCGAGTTTCCGTGACGCCTAATGTACAAGTCCGGGAGTCATGGCAGTAACACAGACAGCATGCAACCTGTTGTAACGCTGCCCTTTGTCTGCCTCTCTGCCCTACCAACCAGCCGGGGAAAACAAAACGCTGAGCCTGCTAGACCGAAGTATATTAGGCACAAAACATGGCTACTTTTATAGGTCACATACGCTTACCTCGCCTCTATCACTGAGGTGAGTCACATCTCTTGTCTGAACAGATTCGACTCTGGCAACCGCCATCACTGTCTGACTGTAGGTAGGACCACGTCCGCGACATAGCAACCCGTGCGGCGATGACGGTCTGATTTCGTCAGCTTCCGGTTTGACCATGACAACCAGTCTGTCAGCCGCTCACGTGATCTGGCCGATCTCGCCCCGCTAGTGTGCACCATCGTAGTCAGCTGTTTCGCCTACGTGACACAACCACAAACACTTGCAGGGGAGCGAAGCATTAAATACAAACACTGGTGTACAACTGACATTCTTTCCTTTCCTTATTTTTCAAAACTAATAATGAGTACCACTTTCCAAGGTAGCTGATCTCTTGGGTAGAGGTGACCGGTGCGGCGCAGGTAGACAAGAGGCTAATCACTCGCCGCCGAAGCGAACTGACTACGATGAGGTAAATCGGAGAGAGGGACCAGCAGAGTGAACCAGCACAGAGTGAACGAAGCATAGTTTGATCCCGAACAAAGGCAAAGCGGATTAGCTCGAATCGGGGCGAGCGAACGGAGTTTGCGCGGCATGGGATGAGGTGCCGGTCAATCCACAAAACAAACGGTGCCGATGGGTAGTTAATGAATAGAAAGCAATTCAAATGCTATCCTTGTGAATTGGCTATAATCGTGCAAACCAAGTGGGGACTATGGAGAGTTGGCGCGGCCAAGCCTGAGTCACGTTGGACATGGCCGTAGACAAAGCAGAAGAGGAGCGGACTAAACACAGAACGGATAGACAGCGCGCGCCGATCAATGAACATGGACACAAGGTAGATAACGCAACCAATGAGAGGCCACCGCAATTAAGTGGCGCTATTAGTTTTGTAATGATGATGCTTCGCTTCACGAATAACAGATCTTGATTACTACCCAGACTTTATTTTGAATCTCGAATGGCTACAGGAGAGTAACACGGGGTTGCAAACGCAGGCTCACGACCCACCAGTGTCACAATCGATGCAGTTCGGCGCATGACGTCGCAGTGCAGCTTGAGAGGAAATAATAATAATAATAATAATAATAATAATAATAATAATAATAATAATAAAAGCAATAGTAATGATAAGAGGTGGGGAGTGGGAGGTAAATAAAGACAAAGTAGATGAGGAAAGAGGCGAAGAATCATTGGTTACTTGATGCATGATCGGTGATCCAGAACGAACAGGCAGAATGCGTGGCACTCCTCAGTTGATAACTGAGTCATGTCGGGCGGAATATCTGATCATCTAAATGGTGAATCCAAGGAAAACTTTCTAGAAAGACGTCGCTAATCCTAACCAGTCCATGCCCAGATACTTTTAGCCAGGCCCTCGCCTAACAACTCAAAAGCTTCAAGGAATCAGGCGTAATACCGATGAACAACAAGCGTTCGTGGGTACGCAATGGAGATTGCCTGACCAAAAGAGACAGCGTTAATTCAATGGGTGGTGCAAGTGACCCCTTTGTCAAACAACAGCTGGTGATCAGGGCGCTACTAATCCAGCTCTCCTATCAGATACTAGTAATGATTCTCAAACGCGTGTACCCATTCGGGTATGTCAGCGGACACACGTGAGATGTACAAGCGCCGAGTCCCCACAGCGTCGTGTGCACATGCTCCAGGGCATAAAAAGATGACATCAAATCGGTGTACTGTGATATACAAAGTCATAAGGATGCACATTTTGGTACGGATTCTGAGAGGAAGCAGAAAAAGACAAAAACACCCAGAGATTTACCGTCTCTAACTCTTTTCGAACACAATTCATATTTTCCTCTGCCACTTCGAGATCTTGCTGCAATTTCGCCAGACGTTCGTCGTCTCCACTAATCTCTTCTGTCAGTTTGGTTATGGTGTTCTCTTTATCTTTGATGGCTTTGGCCAAACTTTTCATCTGTTCTTTCATCCAAGCATCACGCTGGCTGCGTGACTGGAACTGATTCACGCGACCTTGTTTGGCATAGAGTTCCTTCCTGCAACAGTGTACACAAATACTCGAGTATAAACAACTATATACGGTCCCCGAATACGGTGGCTTTGCGAAATTACCTCAAACGGATGTAACGAAATAACAGATAACATCAAACACTGAGGGAAGATTCAGTAAATTTACGTGTCTCAGAGTAAACATGTAATGGACAAGTAAAACTCCATGATGCAATACATGGGATCAATGTTAATACCGGAATTGATTTCTAATCACAGTCGGAATGTTATTGGAAAGATTCGTCGCAGCCAGACTCAGTCAGATAGCCACCATACGCGTACTGTCATACAGGTTGCAAATGTGTAGAGGATAGGGATGGTCCCCAGAGCTGCGATTTCCTTTGCAAGCCGCCACCAATAGATGTGGCATGTAAGCTGCTGAGGCGATTAGTGAGTTTTAGTGAGTAGGAGGATTTGTTATACCTTATGGTAGATTCATCGCGGCCAGGTTTGTAAAGGAGGTTTCAGCTCTGGGGGCCAGCCCTGTCCGCTGCACGTCCACAACATGCATGACAGTGAAGGATGAGCCGCGCCACATCGCAGTTACACATGAGTCATGGCGGTCCGCCGCCGCCGTCACCTATGCCTCAGTGGCTTAAATCGCTGACTCGTAAGAGTAAAGTCATGGGTTAGAGTCCGGCAGGATTCGGCAGAGGCGTGCTACTTACGAGCCCCAATAGGAGGAAACAGCCGTCCAGCGCTTTCCTGGGTGCGTGGTGGCTTTCTGAGTTTGACTGCGACGAATCTTTCTAAAAATATAACAAATCCCCCTACTACTCACTGATAAACAGTCGGAATGTTTTTGGGCAGTGTAAAAAAGCACAGTCAATTCGAGGCACTTCAAACAGTGCCCTTCACTGCTGGCTCTGTACTTGTCTGGACCAGCAGTAGGGCAGAGATTAACGAGAACCAAGAATGGTGTTAAGAATGCTCTGTCAGCAATGACTTTATTGACTGTTAACCCTTTACTGCATGGAATATCTGCAGTCTAAAGCGGAAGCTTGCTGATTTTCTTGCAAATCACTCCTCTGTTTTGGCGTTCAAAAGACGATGTTGCGGTCAAACAGAACGACAGACAATCGAAATAGACGGTAAATATCTGTTCTATCAAGAGAACTTACTCTTAATATGGATAACTGTGAAAGTAATTTGGCGGACGATTTTCTGGTATGTTGCTTACAGGCAACAGTATACAGTAAAGGGTTAAAGATGTTGGTCAAACTGCTGGAGCACAGTTCTCTTTAGAGAGGTCGAGCAGTATCCACTTAGTCCTGAAGCTATATATCACGTTAAAGCAGGCGCGGTTAGGTGCCAACCAACTCAGCTACGCTTGTATATGCGTTTGGTTTAGTGGAACTATGGAGTTACACTGTCCAGTACGCAGTTTATCAATCAGAAAGCAAGACTACCACTACTACGAGAAGATGGAACCAGAAGAGTGCCGTGATGCTAGGAGCGAGTGATGTAAATAGGAATCGAAAAAAGTAGCCGATCTTAACCGTACATAATGCAAGAACAATGGGCAAAAGGTCAGGTGCTCATGACTCGCTGGTCACGTGTCGCCTACAAACTGTGAAGGTACCTAAGCCGGGCATACGACGGTGATAGGATCATAGAGACCCAAATGTAGAGATTCTCCAGTAGAAGTCAAAATTAAAGTATCGTATCCTGCGGATAGGGAGCTCGTGCATCCTGCATTATAGAAAGTGAGACCACGGTGATGCATGCGCTGCAGAGTGTAGCACTGTGCACTTAATGTCAACGGAAAAAATCTAGCTAATGAGAATCAAGGTTAATGAGAAAAATAAACATAACAGAGCTGTGAAGCAATAGTAAAAGTGGAAAAGAAAAGAATTTCGATAAAGAAGTTGTTCCCAAAAGCAAAAGGTATGAGCCAAGGAGAAACTAGCCTGCGATGTTCCGCATCACTGAGGGTGTTCGCCAGCTCATCTTCATACTGTTTCGCTTTTTTGTACTGCGGACGAAGCTCTGCCAAACGTTTTTCCACGAGACCAATCTGTTCGCGCACTCGATTGAGCTCATCGGCTGCACGTTCTCGTACGGATTTGCCACCACGCAGAGTGGCTGAATAATCCGCAATCGTTAGCTGCAGTTGCTCACGCCGCTGAAGAACATCGCTAACGGAAGCCTGAACTTGTTCCACTTCATCCTGCATTTGAGCCTCTTTAAGACGATTATCGCGCAGATCTCTTTCCAGACGCTAGTAGAAACAAGTGACAGGAATATATAGAGAGATTGTGTTAACAGCTCACGAATCAATTAACGGAAGTGAAGTCTTCACAATTGTGACTTTCACGAGCGGCTCGAAAGGTAAACAGTTTGACATTATGGCGCAGTTGGTAAAAAGAAGCTGATAAATGTAAACGTTGCAGTCGTCTTGGAACAGATGAGTGTCAGCTGCAGTGAACCAAACATATCAGGCCGTTAGAGTCCACATTTCTGACGAAACTGATCAGCGCTTCATTAACGCTTCAAGTAGAGAACTCCGGTTCCTTCCAAATTCCATTGTTCTCTATCAGTTCACTTGCAACTGTGGTATAAGGGCATACGAACAAGCATGTAGTTATTCACATACGTTCGAGTTAAAATTGATGAGAACACAGCGCAGCAACATTTTAGTTGCAAGGAAACGAACAACAATACCTAGATAATTTGAAAATGCAAAATTCAAATCTGACATTTGTTTTTCTCTGTAACGTACGGACTTGGAAAATCGACTATATATGGAGTGAATGAACAGCTATTTCTCCCAGTGACCCGATACATGTTAAATTTATTAAGTGCTGCAAAATTATGTCCCCATAAAATGTTGATTAGGAATTACATAAACACAAAGCTGGATGCATTATAAGCAAAGTAGACAATTACAGGCCAATTTGTTTGACGCCTATTTTGGCAAAGGTTGCTAAGAAAATCATAAAAAGGGATTATTACAGTTGCTAGAGTTAGAAGATGTCCTGACGCTTGCATAGCACAGTTTAATGCAAAGCCGCTCATGCATTACAAACTTGCTTGTGACGAGGCATGAGTGGTTGAAGGCAAGGAGAAGTCTGTCGACGTGTTATTCATCGATTTCAGTAAAGCGTTCGACAAGGTAAAGCATGTGGTCCTCCTCCACAAGCTGAGAATGTGAGGTGTTGCTGGATCACTGCATTAGTGGATCCAGGACTTTTACGTTGGGCGAAAGTGGAGGGCACAGCAATCTAACTGACTGGTATTCCGCTACTAGTGGAGTACCCCAAGGCACGGTGCTGGGGTCCACTCTGTTCCTAATCCACATCAACCATTTCCCTAAGGTTCTTTGGTCGCTGTGTACCATGTTCGAGGACGACCTGAAGATTCGGAGAAAAATTAGCACCCCAGACGACTGCAGCCTACTTCAGCACGGCCTCAACCGCCTCTCCATGTGGTCAGCGAAAGTCTGCTTCCCGGTCAAACCATCCAAGCCTGGGGAAGGGTAGTGATGGTCGAATTTACAACATTGACGTCCAACCGTTACATCCCACACCTTTTGTGAAGGACCTAGGTGTATTCTCACGCTACGATTTGAAGTTCGTGGACAACACGAACAGGCTATATCGGAACGGATTGCGTATGCTTTGGGCGCTCAAACGTAGCTTCGGCACATGGTCTGAAGAGGTTGCCACTCGCCTCTTCTCTTCCATCATTAGACCAATGCTAGAGTACGGTTCGCCCAACTACTTTCCGATTATCCGAGGCGAGGCACACAAGATCGAATCGGTCCAACACGTTGCTACCAGGCTCATCCCGAGTTTATGTGGCTTGGGGTATGAAGATCGGCGTGAGAAACTAGGACTCTACACCTTGTTCTACCGTCGGGTGCGAGTCGATCTCATTATGACCTATCGTATTCTACATCTCGGTGACTGCGCCATGCTGAAAAGAAGGATGCAGTTACGAGGAGCATGCAGCACACGCAGACAAAGACAAACTTGTCGTGTCGGATGTGAAGCGAGTTCTCCACCCACTGTGCTTCGAACAGAGAGTGGTAAACATTTGGAACAGTTTGCCTGAACATGTGATGGAGGCAACATCTGTGCAGCATTTCAAAACGTTAGAGTTATATTTTATCAATATTCGATTCAAAGAACGATTGTATACTGACGATGATATCTCACATTTATGAGTCATGCAATACCGTGAGTCAGATATGTTAAATGTTACATGAGAACGATAACGATATTCACGGTTGGCAATTTTTATAACGTTTTTCACCATATTTCGAAAGAGTTGTACAGAATTCCATTTCTACTTGCTCATAATACATTAAGCAGTATCCATGAATTGGGTAATAATTCGGGTTTGCAGCTCTTGTGCCGAGATATTTTCTTTCGGCAGTCACGTTTGATGCCCCAAAATGAGTCGACCATGATGTGTTGGCCCCATCTTCCCTGACAACGCTTTTGCATCATCATCAAATCCTGATGATGAAAATGTTCCCCTTGTTCGTCTCTTATTGCCCCAAGATTTACGGCGAATGGATTAAGAGGACCGTTTAAGAAACGCAGTCTGACATTCATATGGCCCCCAAAATTGCGAAATGCCAACAACATTCCGTTAACCAGTTCCGCCTACTTATCAGATGTGCTGTTCCCAAGAAAATTAAAGTGTACACACTCATCGCCTAGACATTCATCTTTGAGGCAAAGTCTTCTTCACGCACCCGAGCTCGAATTTGTGGGCCATCAAAAACACCAGCTTTCATTTAAAACAAAGATGGAAAAGCTGAAACTATGTACTTGATACAGTCGCCATAACTATTCAAAGCTTTCACAAATCGTTGCATAAAGCCACGTTTCAAATGTAGTAGAGGAACTATGATCTGGCTGACAATCGAATCACTCACAAGGTTTGACATACCAGCCCCCAAAGTTTCACGTATTGGCCACTCTGTCTTTGTCCAATGTTTTGCCTTAGCCCCAATGTCCCACATGCACAAAAAGAAAGGAACTTTGTATAATCTATTTGCTGATCAAGAAACAAACTCGTTAACACCAGATCAACACAAATGATCCACTTGAGTTCATGATACTCGTTGATGTCAGTGTGCTTCCCTCAAATGTACTTAGCCTACTGGAACTACTCCATATGCAATGCCATTGCACAATAGAACATATAGGTAGAAATTCGTCACATCCAGACTCACTCAGACAGCCGCCACATGCCCGGAAAAGCACTGTACGCGCGTTTCATCCTTTCGGGAATCGTCAGCAGTGCGCAATCCTTCGGACCTTGGTAGGGCTCGAACCCGCAACTCGACTGTTGCCAGTCCGTGGTTGAGACAACTGAGCTACGGGGGACGCTAACGACCATTGTGAATAAGTTACTAGATGTGATATAGCGCCGCTCACTATTAACTGACTTACACGTTACTACCATGCAGAGGACAGGGTAGCCCCTACACCAAGCGACGAGCTTACCAAACTTAAGCCGTCAACTAAACTGTGGCACCATAAGTAGTTTGGTCTGCGTACTGATTACAGAAGAGTAGTAGGGGGAAATAAATGGTATAGGTAGAAATTCGTCACATCTAGACTCACTCAGACAGCAGAGCTATACCATTCAACTCTCCCTACTACTCTTCTGTAGACAATAGAACATACTTCAGACTACGATTTGAAGTATAGAAAAATATCCTCCATTCTGGCGGATCATACGAGGTGATCCCGAACTGCAACAAGAGACCTGGAATACCAAGTAAAAGAAAAACAAACTGCTTGTCTTCTGAATAAAAGGCCAGGAAACTTTCTTCGTGTTTTCGGAAGGAAACTTTTGAGCTGCAGTTGAGTAGATCTTTGTCACGTAGGCTAGAGACTAATTACTCGGTTGTTCTCTTGGAAAGCCCATATCACACGCTGTCACTCAATTCTTGCTGACTGAATTGCTAGGGTCCTGATGACGGTGCGGTCTCTCTTGCACAGCCTCCCCAAATCGCAGCCAAACCACGTAACTCGGCCGAACATTCAGGCTCACTGAATGCATCATTTGATGAGGCAAAATCTTAAAATTTTAGAACTGGAAGCTTCTCAGATTGAGGAATGGATCGAATTGCAGAGGGAAAACCGGGATAAGATATGCGGATTTTTCTCACCAGTACATTTAGTATTAACCATGCAAAAATCGTTGGGGTTCGTAAGTTCTCGCCAAACCACGGGAACTCCAAATGGCAGGCTTTTGGGTGTGCCTAATGTTAGGTCACGAAGCATTTCCTCACAACAATGGCACACAAAGTGAGGTTCCGACATTTTGTCCTGGTCACCAAGGTGTACGTCGAAGTATGCCACATAGAGGCGTTTTAAAAATGGAGTAATATTTCTTTTTTGACGTACCAGTGAACCACAACCGGATATATAGCAAGATGCATCAATATAAAATTGTTTATTTATGCAAAATAGCAAAATGCATGTAAACTGGAGCAACTGGAGAAACAACGGATTTCAGATGTAAGATTGGCATTAAAGTCACTTAGAATCATTGGTCAAACCCCTTGTAACATAGAAATGATAAATTTTTGTTCCACAGTGTAAGCAATAGAAGGCATCAGCAGCACGCCGGTACGCAGTACCGACGCTTTGACAACTGCGCAACCGCCACCAGTAGCACGTGGGCTGCAAAGACTGTGACAGGTCCACCGGTCCCAACGCAGACTCAAATATATGCGCCCTGGAATTACGAGGCAGTGTAATCAATATGTAAGCATAAAGACAAGATAAGCAGTTCGTAACAAACAAATGTCGGAGGCGCAAACAAAGCAGTGTTGCTGTGTTGAAGCGAACTACAATGAGTAGGCAAAAAGTGGCCAGTGAGGTAACGAAACAAATAGATCGACAGTAACAGTGCATTTTTGCGGTGCTGTAGTGGGTTAGTTAAACTAAGTTCGAACGGATTCGTCAAGAAATAAATCATCTTCGTAATCAGTGGAGCTGAGCTAACTCAGTAGGATCAATCCGATATATGGGAACGATGAATTCCGAGTAGTTATTTGTGCCGAGCTTGCGGAGCAGCAACAGTCGCGGTTCCGAAGAAGCATTCCCTCACTGCTGGAATCCTTTCGGGACACATTCCCTCCAGCATTTGAACCAAGCATTGAAAGTGCAAACCAAAAGTCTGGAATTGTGTTAGAAAGAAGATCAAAAGAACTAGTCTGTGTGATGCGCGGAACTGCATTCGGAGAGTGTTGTCACAAGCGCAAAGTTTTAATAAGCCCAAATTGTGCCTCTGTGCCTACCACTTCTCGAAACATTCAATGGAAGATTTCATCACTAGTTTCCGCTGTCGCCAACTGTTAGATCTTCCGTTCCCCACGAGATTCCGATGGAATACGCCCTCGGTTCTCGCTAACTTCCAATGTCAATCAAAGGCAGATGTCAACGGTTTTAACGCAAAAAGTGTATTTAATAAGCATCTGAAGAAGTACGGGTAACGTGAAAAATTGAGTCACATTCATGGCTCAGCCAAAGAAAGTGCAGTTTCTTGAACAGCCAGGTTGATTGCCAAATAGTAATTTAGAACCGCTTCAGCTAATGGAAAGGCAAATGCATTCATCATGCAACAGACGTGAATTTTCTTTGGACAACTGGAATCATTCGCTGATTGCTGCTGATGCAAACCGTTGGCCCACCGAAAGAACGAGGTTTCTGTGGGTACTACATGGTTTCGATACACGAGGTGAGTTCACGAAACGTGGATCCGCTGATTAAAACTGTTGTAGTCTAAGTTCAAGGGTTCACCCACCCCATATAGTCTATGGTTGGCACATTGTTGTAATTGAATGTTTTCAGAAAAGTAAGGCTGAACAAGGTGACAGTGACGTAGATGTAAAATAGACAGCATTGCACAAGCACCTAGTGGTAGAATGCGTTTTACTGAAACTAGATGGAGATCAGCAAAGGCTATCGAGGCCATCGACGTACAGCAAACAGGTGCAATGATGACGTCCGAAAAGCAGACACGAATGAGAGCCACAGATACGATGTGGGCGACGGAAAAGTAAAAAAAGAAAACGTAAGTGCGAATCATACGGGAATGGGCAGGACCTACCTCGATTTGGTCCGCGCACTCCTTGGCGGCTCGACGAATCTCAGCGGTACTTTCACTGCTTTGCTCACGACGAGACTGAATCTCATCCAACTTCTTTCGTGTCTCTTTCAGCTCACGATCATAGATGGTATATTCGAGAGCCCGACGGTCACGATCCCAGCGCTGGTACTCTTTTAACTCCTTGGTTTCGCTTTCGAGAGTGCGCAAACGATCTTCGATGCTGTTGAGCAGTTCCGATATTTGTTCGCGTTTTGCCTCTGGGGAGAATAAGATGGTTGAAAAAAGCAATGGAAACCGAAAAACAGTTGAGGTAGTGTTTAGGATTTGTATTGTGTAGGAATGCGTCGTGGTACCTGAATCCTTAAAAATTTGTTTACTCTCCTCCTTTCTTTCATCGTAAACTCTCGTGCCGGCCACTTCGCGCAACAGCTTCAATCTTTGAGTATCCGGTGCCGTTGCCAACTGTGTGATCTAAGGGAGGAAATTTGAGTAGCTCATTGAAAATCTGTCTGATAGCAAAAATAAACCGTAAAAAGCCCTAAGTAAAATGGAAACACGCCAAGTAAAATTGTGACCTGAAAGAGAACAGAGAGGTAATGTTGGAAATACATAACAATCGTGAAAGGGGGATAAATGGCGGCATGCAAACGAGCCACGGGGAGAGCCAAAAGCTTTTACTGACTGATTTGTTTATAATGTGATGGGTTTCATAAAAAAGTAAGAACAGCTTCATATAATGGAGGTTACGGAAAGGGCATAAGGTTTAGAGAGTAATAAAACAGCGAGAAATGTGCATGGGAGGATAACACTAAACTTGGACGCTTCTGAAGAGTTGCAGTCTAGCTGGATTTGCTTCAGTTGAATTCGACCACTAGATACTCAGCTTAATGGTTTGACAGGTGCCGGGATATAAAGAAGTACCCAAACGCCTGCCTCAATCTCCAGTACACTAGTTGCCCGCTCTTGTGGTGAGAAAGTAGGTAAGCATTTTTAAGGTTCGTCGAAACTAGACTCAATCCGACAGCCACTACACATCCATGAATGCGTCAGACGGCAGCTTCGTCGTATTTAGATCCGTCTGTAGCGTATAACTGTCGGAGATTGCTGGATCTGCACACATGATCCCAATCTTACTAGTCTGCGATGCAATATAACTTCGACGAATGTTCTCCAAACACATAACAAATACTCCCAAGACTCTTTAAATAGTCCAGCTGTTCTAACGCAGTGTTGAAAGTTCGGTGTCATAAAAAAAGATAAAAATGCAGACGACCAATAGATAATGACATATGGAAGTGGTTTACGAAAAGTTCCTTTTGTTTTGCGGAACGTCCAAAGTTGTTTGCAAAACATATATATATATATATATATATATATATATATATATATATATATATTGAAGGTTTTGCAAACAACGTTAGACGTCCCGCAAAACAAAATGGACTATTTGTAAACCACTGTGGATACATTAGATTTCAAGAAAATCAGCAATTTGCATGCAAGAAATGAAGAGTAAGGCGAATAGATGATGCAGTCTGACGGTGTAGTCTGAGACTACACTGTAGTCATGCTAATGCAACCGAGTTGTGTAATCAGCGGGTGCCACTGCAAACTATGCTCATGATCGTGAACCTCGACCAAAGGCGGTGACTGAGTAGCCCCCTATCTCCCCATCTGTCTTCTCGTAGTCTATATGCTTCTGATTTTACACATAGACCTGTGTGTAGCTATGTGACTATTGAAAAGTCAGACTACCCAACTGCGTAGTCTATCATGACCTAAAGAAATGTTAGTTAGCATTAGAGGGTAGTTGTGAAGCACTCGTTTTGAGAATGGATTACGATGCGCCATCTCAGTGTGGATCACCATTCTCAGTGAATTAAACCTTGGCCAATTGTATCACTTGGACCGTCACTGATGAAGCAGATAGGCGATGATCCAGTTATCCCCTGTCACTCAATGGGCCTTCGCGTATTTTGTGAGAGTCAACCTATTCAGCTGCTCGATTATTGGATCAGTGCAAGTTATCATGACTCCATCAAACACAGCATAGCTTTATTGGCCTACTGCTGCAAGTCGTTATCAAAGAAAGGGCATTAAAACGACTGGACGATGTTCAGACCACATTGGGCTCGCGTGAATGCAACGGGACTGGTCAAGCAGTGGGCGATTGTACAAACTATCCTCTTGATCATTGGTGTTGTTCACCTCGAGCAAAGCAGGCGATCCAGTTGTCCAGGGTCGCTCAATGTGCTTCCGCGTATCTTATGTCGGTGTGTGGGCGAACCTATTCAGCCTCTCGAATATTGGAACAGTGTAGGCTATGATGAATCGACCAAGCACAGAATAGCTTTATTATCCTTTCGCTGCAAGAAAGGACCAAACTAAGCAAAGAGTGACCAGAGGCCGCATCTTCAATGCCGAGGCGGTACAAGTGACACTCTTGCTCACAGAAAAAGATGCTCACCAAGACTGTTCGTTGACGGCTAAACCACACACGAAGCTGCTGAATTCGCACACGACAAGGAGCATCATCATCGCCTACAGTAAGAATGCACGAATATTCGACGAAACAACAGGGAGAAGATGAATCTCGTTATCCCATAGGTCGTGGAAGAGACAAATGAGCAGCATTACGAGCGCACTTTGGTGTAGCTGCAGCGGCGGCTGAGAGTTCGGGATCCATTCATCTTTATCTGTCTTCAATGCTAACGGGAGGCTACGGATAAGGCTTAACAAGTTCACTACGAGCAAAACCGTGTCAACAGTGCTCCGATCAACGCAACCTTGCAGGCCTACGCTATGGACATCTCGGTACACGAACTATTTTTGCATGCTTCGGCAGTTTGGTTTGAAAAACGCCTAATCTAAAAGGAAAATGGTGTATTGACAAGGAAGGGCACTAAGCTTAAACACGTTCAGTTAATGAAGGGCTGTTCAGCTGCTGCGTTTGTCAGGCTCAGCATCATGCTGAGGATGCAGTTCGTGCAGTCCTGCTGTGTTATCGTTCCTACACTCTTTTGAATGACCGCACTTAGCGTCTGGTCAGGCGTCGGACTGGCTGCATGCGGAGAAGAAACGCCGGATACGAAAGCAATAGGCGCCGATGGAGGGCAGTCCATCGACATTGAGCGCATGGCGCTGCAGCACATGCGGTCGCGAGCGCCAGAGCCAAGTCGGCTTAGTAAGTCACCAGCGTCGCCATGCGATTTTAACATCGAACAGGCTACGGGCCAGTTGAATAGTTAGTCAGCATAAGCGCAGCGCCTGTGAACTAAGCGATTTACGATTCAATATCATACACTCACCAAGGTCAATAATGTGGTTGATGTGATACATGTGCTACATCATCGTTGCAGTTAGAATGTGCAACTGCCTGCAAGTCGAGATTCTTGCATTTAATGTATTGCCTGTTGATTGATATCCCCGGTGTGGCCGCACTTGATGTGAATGTTGAGAAAATGACTACTAGGAGACTGCTAATCTTTGCAGGGGGCTGGGTGCACGGTCCTCGTGACCGTGCTAGGCTCAAAGAGCGGTCCCATACAGTGCGGAGCGGACTGCCGTCTAACCACCGCCTTGTGTATGTCTGGTACGCAGGATTCCCAAATCAGATAAAAAGGAATACTGCTGCTGTGAATTTGGAATGAGTGTGGGCCGGCTCCGCTGATGAAGCTTGGCTCTCAACCACATATTCTTCAATGTTTCAATACATGCTAGCTGAGAGTGAGAAACACACCTCAGCTAATGTGCCGCAATACAAAAAGATGATACTAAAAAATTACACCACAAAGAAGCAAAAGCAAGTAACCTAATGCTACAGATTAAATTGTGCATTCCGTATGAGATCGGAATTAGATGGAGAAGCTAAAGGGGAGGGGGATGGACAAAGAAACCCATAACACGAATACCGTTGGGCCGGCTCTTCGCCATATCAGCAAGTGTATAAAACCAAACATGTTCATCATCCTTAGGACCCCGGCCATGCAACCGGGATGCACCGACCGACGCCAGCTTTGAAGTGAGGGTTTAAATTTCTTTCGACGGTCATCGTTTGGACTCCCATTCTCCTCTTCCGACCGCACCCCCTGCGCGGATTCCAACAAGTCCACGGACCTCTCGGATATCCAGTGACTGGTGTTGTGAGGATTGATAGTGCCACAAGTAGATGCTCCTGCGTCGTGCATAGCAGCCGAGATCTTATTCCACTGATGCTCAGTGTCATTAGGACAAGGCAGCGTAAGTTCGGTACGTAGTGCGTCTTGATAGGCTTGTCTGACTGAGGAACTGAGATAAGTTATCAGTTGCAACCTGAGAACGGGCTAAGTGTGTCTCCCGGGAAATTGCATGGAGAAATGAAGCGTACCAAGGCATGACCAGAGTCGACGCAGGTATTCCAGTACGAACGGTAATCCAGAATGGAACCACGTCACCTGTAACTTATGGCAACATGGTCGATTTGGGTTCATCGCTGGCCAGCTACAGGAGGATGCCAAGTGACACTTCGGCGCCCACTGTGCCTAAAAGCGGTGCTACTAAGAAAGAACTGGTGCTCCGCAAACAGTTGCAGCACACACTTGCCGTTGCCAGTCCGTTCGAAGTTTAGCCCATAAATGCCACCTAGCTGACTTCTGAACAGCTCAGACGCCCTACTTGTGCGTTCATATCCCATGCAAGTACTATGATACCTGAACTAGTAGCATTGTGTAGTAGGCAGTTCAGTTCATGGTGGAACGTGTCCTTAGCAGCAGCAGGACTGCAGTTGGTGGGAGCATAAGCGGAAATCACAAACAAATATTGTCGAGTGCTACTTCATGAATAAACCTTGGTCGATATCGTTAAATGGGTTGCACACAAACGGTTGCTCAAGAGAATCTAATCAAGTAACGATGATTCTGCCTTGGAGCTAAGAATGGTGCCCATTCAAGCCTGACCAGTGACTGCTGCATCAGTGTCGCCAGATGTGTGCAAACAATAGCAAGAGGAAAAGCCGGGAGCAGTTAATTCAACAAGTCCATTAGGGTCATTGATCCTAGGTTCGGACACACAACACACGTCAATCCTCAGGGTGTGCAACGTGCGCGCGAGTACAGCCCGTTGTCCTATTTGTCATAGGGTGCGAACGTTAAACACCGTCATCGAAACTGAACATCATGTCCTTATATGGAGCTGTTGCCTATAGGCATCCAGGGAGTGGTGCGGGAAGGTAGCTGCAGTTAGTAAAACTGCAGTTGCATTGCGGCTGCTGTCGAGAAGGCTAGGAATTATGAAAAGTTATTAATTGGGGTCGGGAGGAAAGTAAGAGAAACAGATGGAAACGAAAGAAGGGAGGCGCCAGCAGCAGCATGCTTCCGCTTATCCGCCCTGCTGTGTGCAGCAGATAAAGCGACCCTTGTAAAGCTGCACGACGGCCGATGCAGGATGTGATCATGGTTGTACGTGGGATGATATTGCTATGGAGCCCAAATATAGACGAGACAACGATTAGGGTCCCTAAGCAAAGCCTGTCCGCAAAGTAACGGAAGCATGGAAGTGATGCAGTCCCCTTCCCAACCTATAAGCTGGAAAACCAGGAGACTGACCAACCTGATAGTAGTTCTCAAGGGCCCAGGGGCACCACTCAATATAGCTAAAGGGCTCGAAAAGGCACACAAACCGTCGCACCATGTTAAAGTACAGTTTCGTTGCAATAGGATCTAGTATCGTTGAATTTACCCAAACCCCAGTCTAACCGGGTTGGAACTGAGTCTCAGCTGTCGCACAGAGTCATAGGTTTTGAAACGCGTTGCTCGTAGAAATGGTTATGTGACCAACGGTTAAGGAGTTCAAACAACTCGACGACACTGGTCTGTGGTTCAAAGTCTTCCCTTTCATGCCATAAATTTCTACCCCCTATTAAGGTTTACTTCTTTTTAAACAGTAAGTTTTGCATTTCGAAAGTACCATATTTATTTTTAGCTTGCCTTTCTTGCAATTTTAGTTTTGTTCACGCGGCCGGCGCGGCGACGAATGCTAGTGTAAGGCGCGTGGACACTGTTTCATTAACCATGGTATGGATCGTGCGCGCTAATTTGGCTCTTCCCTCGCGAATCAATCGACCATATTTTCTTTTGACTTAATGACGTTTTGTGAGATGATACGTTCACGGGATCCTCCTAATGTTCCTGTCACATTCAAACTTGAAGACGCGGAATGCTGTAGTAGGGTGTCGAGGAAAGTGTGACCGATGTGGATCAAACTAAAATAAATATTTCATTTTATTCACAGCTGTCGCTTAAAGATTAGCGCATGACCGGCTCGGTCACTTTTAGTGTAGAAAGGAACCATTAGCATTGAACGCCTCATTAATGCGAAAACAACAAAAACCGGAGATTGAACGTAAACTGAGTTGCGGCGATAACAGAATAACTATGAGCAAATGAAAAGAAATTACAGCAGGGAATTAAACAAAATATTAAGCATAAAAATCCACCCTGGATAAACGCATGAAGAAAATGGACGCAGACTACTTGAGTTCAACCGTCGTAGGCAATACTTTAGCATCAGTGGAACGGACTGGAAAACGACCAAAACGTATAACGGGTGAAGTAGAGATTACCGTTATCCAGTCAATGCGCCAATATTCTGAAGGAAGAAAGCTTACTTTTCCCTGCTTGACGATATAGTACGGGTTGCTGCGTGAGAAACCAGCGCTTTCTAACATATTCATGACGTCGGCCTTCCTTCAGTGAGACATAAATAAAAAGACAGAGGAACCTACGTAACCATCTTCTTGTCAAGAAAGTACTGGTCTTTCTTGCTGCCTATTATCCGACGAAGGGAAACTTCGCTTTTATCAAACTAGCAGAGATGAGCACATATGGAAACGGCAAGTACCGGAATACGATTATCCGAATTGTCAAATATCATTTCCACATAGGCTGATATGACCCTGGGGCCCGTTCCTTCGTGTAACAGGTTTTGTCGCTCTTGATTGCCAAGGTGGCTGTATTCATCTGATAGCACGAACTGGATGGCTTGAAAGAAGTTAGATTTTCCGGAGCCATTTCGGCCGACTGAGATGTGTGAAAACACAGCAAACGAATACCCTACCAATAATATTGTGGTGTGGACTGAACTCTTCCGGACATGTCTGATCCCTATAGCTGCGGAAACCCTGGATGATCACTTTCTTTATGTACATGAGATGTCACTAAAATAGAAAAAGGGAGCTGTAAAACTACAAGCATAGAACAAAGGTACATCGCAACCACATTGCGAAGAATAACAAAAACGGTAACTTAAAACTTTAACGTGGTTCCGCGATAAGAGTACCGGTGTAGGAGTTAAGCAGGTGGATGCTGAAAGTAAATTGCCATTGTGATAGGACGCAGAGAAGGAATAATCACAATGGACGAACATGCTGAAAAGCATACACAATTACCAGATGGTCACCTCAGCTCTAGTTTGAAACACCAAATACAACGAGAAAAGAGTGGGCGTTGGACAACCACGCTCATACGAGGACCGTCAAGATGAAAAAGTCCTACAACCGGCGCACATATGAACAGTGAATACGTAGTTCAAGTCATCACCGTCATCAATAAACATTAGCTAAGGGTGAAAAACACACTTCAACTGTTATGCTGCAATACAAAAAGATACGTGAAAAATGAGATACAAAACACAACAGAAAAAGCAACATAATATATTGCTTAATAACATTGTTTTAGGACTAATATCACGGTTGGAGGGGGAAGGTAAGCAGGATGGGGAGGGACAAAGAAATACACAATGCAAACGCCACTGGGGTCGGATCCTCGCCATGTCCAGCCAGACGTGTTCATCATCTTTGGGACCTCAGCCCTGTAGTCGGGAGACACCAACAAACGCCAACTTTTTGAGCAAGTCATTTATTAGCCTTCACGCCTCTTGTTGTATCCACACCCCCGGTACGCAAACAACGGACGACGCGCAAGTAGGTGTGCTGGCACGCATAACATGCGACCCAGCCATCGGAGCGTTGTGCGTGATGTAATGGTGATGAGCGATTCACTCACTTTTCCTGCACCAAATACACTACGCCGAGCACGCAGTGATGGTCGAACGTAACTAGCCTCTTTATGTCTGCCGATCTAATGGGCCAGGTTTCACAACCGTACAGCATGGTCGAATGTACAGCTGTATTGCAAACTCTATCCTACAGAGAGAGATATGCCGGCGTCACAAGTGGCGGAGATCGGCAAAAGCGGCATGAGGTTTGGCTATGCTGTTCGTGGTCCACTGGTGCTGATACAGTTGCATTAGCTGAATTTCTAAACAACTTCCAGCTGACCACCACCAAGGGTCAGTAAATGAAGCGGTCCGTGCCAACCTTGGAAGATAGCTTTGCAGTGCGAGAGTGCAAAGCATAGCCCCAAACGACCGACAGGTAGTGCTTATCTGTCCACTCCGGTGAAGCATTATATTCCAGCTTCCAGCTGCTGTTACTCTGGAAAAAATTAGGTCCCTGTTTGGTATCTTATCAAATGAAAGGCGTATGATCCGAGAAATTGGTCACCGGCTCCCATTGTCGTGATTCCCGGAATTCGCTCCGCTGCCTTGCGGATAGGCTACTAAACCAAAGGCTCAGGGTGGACTCTCCTAAGTCATCATCCTACTTCGGCTTTGGCAACCTGGTAGTATCGCGCCCATTGCAAAAATCATGGATCACACTGTTGTTTCGTATTCTTTCACTCCCGCCTCCTTCGCTTCTCCCCACGCTTCATCACACTCCAACCATTCTGTTAATAAACCCTGTTTCTCTCGACTTAACCCCGCCACCGGTTTAACTGCGGGAAATGATGTCCTGCCTGAGGCCATTCTTCGACCCCGATCTTCGTAAGTGCGACAACCGGCCCAATAACTAGCTTGAGCTGCGCGCCAGTAATAGCAATGGTTTGTTTATTAGCTGACACTTATGTACTACTCGAAAATTTAAGACATGTAAGTCGTCGAGTCCGTCGCTTAAGCTCTATGGTGGCATTTCGGAGGCAATTTTGTTCTTCGAGAGTGAGGTCAACGAGCACGTGGATTCATAAACCGTTAAGGCGCCGATACGAGAGATAAGACGGGTAGGAGCGATGTCCTTTTTAAAGACTACTCGTAGAGGACGAAAAGCAGCCGGAGTTCGTTTACCAAGATGCAAAATTCTCTTTATGAGAACACCCTGTTCACCGGGTTCCAAAAGTTTATCACCCAAGCCCTGTAGAAATGTAACGTCGTGATCATACCGAATACGCGGATCGAAATCTTCAGATCCCGGTACGTGAAGGATCATAAGACAATGTTTGCGTGGAAATAGACCGGTTTATGATAAATCGGGTGGTCGGTTATCTAGGTTAGGAGGAACCGCGGAGTGTTGTCTACCTGCAACGAGCCATGGTGTTTCGTTTGAAGTCATGTGATCAACTGTTGTAGCGGAAGGTATTTCCGGATGTGGTAAGGCAGCACTTACGGAAGCCAAATTGTCAGAAAAAAGAGCAAGACTGTTTTCCTGAGTTGACAGATAAACAATTAGGAGGATGGGTGAAGCCTGAGTCCACATGTACTTCAGTTTGGCCATTTGATGAGTCATCTGATGACCTTTTGCTTCTCTTTCTAGCCCGTATAGCCGAAGGAAGGGAAGAAGATCGCTCAGGAGGTTGGCGTTGCGGCCTTCTTGCTAATGTAGTCACATCAATGCAATACGGGCTGACCCATGGGTTTCATGGGTTTGTGCAGAACGAGTAAGCTTTGCTTTTCGGTGGTACTGCTTCGATGCCTTACATCAGGGTTCTGTTGTTGTCGGTAGGTTCCAAGTGTTGTAGTCTGCGACTCGATAGTGATATAAGGCACAGGTATCCAGCGTCGCGATTGTGAAGATGTGGCTACCTGGAAGAAAGGGACTAGCGTGCAGGTAAAGGAGCGATGTTGGCGGTGTTATTGCTTTGCAAGTGTGAGCATAGAAGTAGCAGTACAGGGACAAAAAGGTGTCATACAAGGGGACGGTTCGGTAAAGTTAAATAAGAGGAATGCAGCGAGTTAGTCTGAGAAAAGTAGTGATCCTACCAGCTAGCTTGGCGAATAGCCTATATCTTTCAAGATAAAAGGTCAGCGAGGCAAGAGGCAAACATCTATGTGTTGTTTGAAGACCTCCGTATTATGTGCTTAGACAACAGTTTCAGGCAAAGCGTTTCAGACGAAGGCGATACGCACACTAAAGCTGATTCTTCGGCCCTGAAGTCGACTACTGTGAGTCAGGAGTATGAGCAAGTGCCCTCTTAGATGGTCTGTGCGGGCGTGAACGAGTAAATCGGGTGCCTGTTGTTAATCAGAATAGAATGGGCTAGGATGAGATCACCAAGAAGTGAGCGATATTTAGGTGGGAAGGGTTTTAGGGCCGCAACGCGCTCTTTGTACGAGAGGTGGGATAGTCCTTTCACTCTCTAAGTGGCTCTGCGCTGGACGGTTTACAACAGAGCCTCATCGTACTTCAGATACGGCGGCTGGACCAGTATATTTTACTATAACAGCGGGCATACCAAAATGCTGTAGAGGCGAACAAGTGTTTCTTTAGGGAATGATCATAATTCACGCCCAAGTATGGCCAGGTACACGCTGGCCTTTCTTGCCAATGTGGCTACGTTGGCGCTCGGGTTCAGGTCGGCGGATAGAATAGCGCCTAGGTCGCGTTCCTGGGATGTGCCGTTAAGAGGCAGGTCGCCGATAGTGTACGGAGTGCTCGCACCTTGTCCGATGTGCATGACCTTGCACTTTACAGTGTTGAACGGGAGCAAGTTTTCAGAGACGCATGAGTAGGCAGCATCGATGTCTCTCTGAAGACGCGCCTGATCGGTAGGTCGCCATATCTTAGCGTCGTCCGCATAAAGCAGTATATGGCTGCTAATGGAAGATGGTAGGTCATTGATGAACAAAGTGAACAGCAAGGGCCCGAGGGTAGATACCTGGGATACTCCGGTCGTCGCAACCAGAGCGCTGTAAAGTGCAGCATTTACACGAACTTGGTAGGTGCGCCCGGATATGTAGGTACTTAGCCAGGAGATTGTTTGCTGCTCAATTCCCAAAGTAGGTAGCTTATTTAAGAGGACTGCGTGATTAACCCGATCAAATGCTATTGGACAATCTAGGTAAACCACACCAGTCGGAATATGACTGTCTGCCTCTGCTGTCCAGGAATCAAGGGCTGCGAGAAGATTCATGGTGCACGAGTGAGCTCTGCGCAACCCGTGCTGTTCCGGGGTTATTAGGGACTGGCTTCCTAGATGACAGCGCAGAACATCGTCTATGAAGTTCTCCATTGCTTTGGAAGCAGTACTATCGGGCGATAATTCGAAGCGTTTGACCTGCCACCACCCTTGTATATCGGCGTTATGACCCCTTGCTTCCAAGTGCTCGGATATTCTGCGCTAGTGTGAAAGAGGCTGTACAGTGAGGAAAGCAGTTCGACCAATACGGCAGCACTCACGCAGAAAGATGGGAGGGACCCCATCCAAGCCCCACGATTTGTCTGTCCTTAATCTTGTTGATTTTTCCAGAACTGTAAACTGTACCTCATGCCTGACAGCGCCAGGAGTGAAATTAGTGTCCATTATTGTACTAGCTGCCGAGGTGTTAAAAACCGACTTGTACTGAGCCTTCAGTAGTGCAGCAGCTACTTATATGGCGTTGTGATGTTGCCTTCGGGTCCGAGCAGGTTGCCGATGACAGCCCGCGATGTAGTGAGAGGTAGTACGCCGAAAGAAAAGCTTGGAGTTATCGGCAAAGCATCTAGCGAGACAAAGCTGGTAGGCTGTTATCTCGGCGTACAGCTGCCACATAGGAATTTCGCACTCTACGGTATTTTGCTCGCAATTCAGAGTGACCAAGTAGTAAGGATCTGTCCCAGAGGGCCTTCTCCCTGATCAGTCTAAGAGTGGCGGTCTGAAGCTTCTTGTGGCGTTTCGGAGCAGAAGCACGCACTGTAGGAACGTATGACCTAAAAGCGTTGTTGATGTGAGCGGCGACGTAGTTCCAGTGGTCAACAACTGTGAGAATTTGTGCTGCGAGGGGCCAGTCAAGTTGGGAGAGGTGATCTATGATCGCGTCATGGTCCGTCCGGTGAAAGTTCAGCTTAATGGGTACTGCTTTAGCGCTGAGCGTGACATCTGCCACCACCCGAAAACG